GTAAGAGATGAAAATGGTGCCAGTAAGTGGAGCTTACTTTTTACAAGCAAGAACAGTTATTTTAAACAGCCACTGATCACTGGAATGATGTGGTAGATGCCCCTTCAACCCAGGGGCACTTTAATCCCTCTAGGTGACCAGCTTCTTATTTCTATCTACAATGTCACCCACAAATCATACATTAAGGTCGCAAGAATAAAGGAAATGATCACCGACTAAAGAAGCTCTTGATTGTTAAACAAATTCTCCTTGTCAGCACCTTAGGAAATGTATAGAGAACGGTATAGAGAAGATGCATATATACCCATGTTATGGTGTATTGGGTCATGTGTTCACCTTTATTGGGATCAACTTCTCTTTCTTCCTCTTCAGCTAATAAACCACAGGTTGACTGCTGTTATAAGTAAGAAAAAGGTAAATAGCCAGTTGGCATCAATTGACTGAAATAAAAACTTGAATAATAATTGAAAGGCCTTTATGTAAAGTACATTGTGGTAATCAAATTGGTGCTTGCTGTAGGTGATGATGAAAGTTAACAAGCAAATCATTTTTGTTGCACTGTATTCACCGTTTGGGAAAAAAGAAACAAATAAAAATCCTGATTTTAATGTATCAAACTAACTTAAAATACTCCAACTGCCTTTGTTTTCTTCCTCATCTCATTGGAATTCTAAAACCTGCCCTTCATGGGCTAATCAAACCTGTAGCTGAACAAATGATATTTAGTTTCTGTACATGCAAATTCAAGGAACATTGCATAATTTATATCTAGCACATAAATATATATATAGAATCACAACTTACCCCAAGAGCTGAAATGTCTCCTTTATTCTGTACAACTGCATTTGCTCTCTTTCTACTGTACTCCAGCCGTCTTCCCTAAATATTGCATAACAACATATATGATATACAGTGAAACTTAATGGTCACTAGCTCTACGTGTGGGCTCTTCAGGTCTAGATCGGCAGACAATCTAACAAGAGCAAAGCCCATAATTATGAAATGTTGCAACTCTGTTATGGCTGAAACTTAGGGTTTGGAGTTCCATTGTTAGTAATGGTTATTTTGAACAGTCCTGAATAATTTAGTGGCAATTATTGCCAGCAATTCTACACAGTTGTTAATCACTTCTCTTCCCCTAACCTTTTTTCCTTTTCCTTTCACTGATCCAATCATTAGGGAAAGGTACATGTCTGAAATAAGAGTCATGTCTGTCTGGGCAGCATGGATTTGCTAGCCAAAAGAGCAGGGTATGGTTGTTCAAAGGGTGAATATCACTATCCATTGAAAAAAATTTTAACCCTTGGATAGCCCAGTACATTTTGCTAACACTTATCCACTGGATAGCAATTTATCCATTGGCTAGGGCTATCTCTCCTTTGAACAACTGAGCCCAGTATTCTATCTGGAAGCTAGCTGGCAAAAATGAAATCCCTTAGATATATCTCTTGCATCTACCTTTCATTCACATGAGGCAGCTGGTTAAACAAATAAAAAGGTTGAGTTTCCTAAAAAGGGAGTATTACAGCATATATGGTTTTAAATGTGAATTGGCCACCATACAGAGTTTCCAAAGCTGACCTTTCAAGAATGATTAGCCTAATCATTTAGAGTGAACAGAACTGATGTTAAATTTGTAAAATGCATTTTCTTCATGTTGACCCAAAAACTGACTCAAACATTTTTATGCATCAGACCACACAATAAGTATGGCAGCAGCTAGTACCTGAAGCTCTTGAAGCCAGAACATCATAGTCTGCTTATCTTTTGCTTGCAGCTGATAGGTTCTTCCAGATGTGCTATGGAAGTAAAAACATTTGTAAAAAAAAATTCAAACCTATACCAAAATCCCCCTAAGTAAGCATATATTTATCCGCTTCCCCATTTGAGCAGTCTTAAGACAATACTAAGATGTCTTTGAAGTATGTTGTCAGACAGCATATTGAAAAGATCATCTTTGATTCAGTATCTAAAAATTTTCTCACCAAATCTGAAACTGTGTTAGTCTGTCTGAATCTTCAACTTCAAAAGTGAAAGATGCATTCGCCAGATCAATAGAGCTGAAAATTAAAATAACACACACAGTCTACACAAACTGGACATATATCACTAAACTGATAACAACTCTTCATTTGACTCTGATTTGACTCAGTGATTATTTTATTTGTTCTCATAACCTTCATGTTTAATTTAAAGGTGATACTGTGAAGAGAAATTAAAAGCCAGTCACTCCTAGGGCTTAAATGATGAAGCAAATTGTAAGCCTGTTCTGCATATACACTGTGTCATTAATTTAAGAAGTGAAGATCAGGAACACTATTCTACACAGTTCAAATGGAACATATTTGCAATCGCTAGCAACGTTACCTACCCAAGAGGTGTACTGTCCTGAGGAGTACGGAAATAATACAACCTGCACTTCCTCTCCTCATAGAGAAACCATCTTGTTTTCCATGTTTTTATTCCCTTTGCTACAATGTAATGAACAAACAAGAGAATAGAGAGAGGATTGTTCACAGTTATTCTTGTTTATATCCTTTAACCTTTTAGCTGACCCATGATCAGATAACTTATTGGAAATTCCAAGGGAAAGTTACCTGACTGTTACTGCGCTGTACTGATAATTATATGATAAGCTGAATCCTACACGCAAGGTTCTTACTTGTGACCTATTAGAGGACACTGACACACAAATGACATCACCATTGATGACATTTTGCTCTTTCTCCATATAACAAAAAAAACTCCATGTCACCATTGGTCTGTATAGTAAAAGATCACAGTAGACATCAAAATGTTGTAAGAAAATCAGTGACACACTGAGCTGTATCTCGTTTGCCACTTTTCTCTTTGTACCACATTTTGATATCATCTGCGATCTATAACTGAAAAGATGCAGTATGGCAACATGGAATCTGTTTGTTATAACTGATTTACTACAACTTGGACATGGAACTTTATAAAAAGTACTATTTTTTACAGGAGGGGTCACATTTTCATGGCACCCATCCATAACAATAAGCAAAAGAGTATAATTTAGACATAGGTTAACCCTTTACAGACTAAAATCAGTATCCATATTCTCTATACTCTCATCCATATGTTTCTTTTAGTACTGACAAGGAGAATTCATGTGAAGATTAAAGCTTCCTGGGTTGGCAATAATTTTCTTCATTCTCATTCTCTTAGTAAATGATTCAGCAGTATTACTGTGGGGAGAAATTAGATACTGGTCACTCTTTGGGTTTAAAGGGTTAAATAAAATCTACTTACCACCCAGCTTGTTCAAAAATCCACAGAGTGTTGGTGTTCCACTTGTAATTTTCTATAAAAAGCAAAAAAATTTACCACTATCAGGCTTAAAAGAATCCATTAAGGAATTCTTTCACTTTCAACAGTGATCAGTAAAGAATATCAATATACAAACATCGCAAGAGATAATGAAACACGAAAACATCAATTACCATTTTTTTTTTTAAGACAAATTCTCTAATTTACTGTGAGAGGAAATGAGTGGCAGTAAAAGGAATCAATATCGAGGTCAGTTTCCTCTTAAGACACTCATGCTGATCAAATGACAAATCTCCTGTATATGCAGATACACACAACTACACCATTTAAATTGATTCCTATTGAGTACTTTAAATAAAACTCTTCCCCAACTGATTTGTTAAATAATCAATAGATCATTCAGTTAGCCTGGCAGATAAGAAAAAGGCATATTGAACAGCTACAGGGATAACAATATCTTGATCTAACATTATTTTAATTGTACGTCACAGCTTCAGGGGGAAATAACAAGTCATGGTCTTTACTATTCCTGACTATGTAAAACTATTTTTTAAAAATCAAAATTACTTAAAATTGAATGAGACCTCTTCACCCAAAGCAAGTTGAGGCGAGAGAATTTATTAAATATGCACCTGCACACCATGGCTCTGAGGATTGTCTTTATTTACAGGCCAAAGTGTTCATACAATCAGGGAATTGTGCACTTAACACCCATAATGAATGTTATTTTTGTTGGATTTTTTAGTAGAAAGCGTTCAAAATCAAAAACGCGTAAGATCAGAATAATCATTTAGAGAGCAAAAGGTTAATGATGTTATCAAAGAGAGAGAGGCTAGAGTAACTGGCAACTCGATCATAGCCCATGTTATACGGAAAAAGATAGAAAGTGAAAAATCGCAACATTTCTGCAATTCTCTGCGAAAAAGAACATATTCCTTTCGGTTTACTTCACAAATATCACTTACTGGCTTCGACTGCTCACTTAACTAAATTCAACACTTCCTTGTTCTGTAAGAATCGTAACGTATCAGCTGTGACGCAGAACTTTCTGTGCATGTTCCGAGGTACAACTTCGGTAGGGGCGTGCTTTTTGACGCCGGCTCGTAATTATTTACCACGTTATTAACAATTATACAAATTCATCACGAACCGTACATCGTCAAAACTGTTTCTCACGTGTGCACTTGGGGTCGTAACGAACTTGCCGCGGTTCGAGAGCTGAAGACAAATTTTCGTGTTCCTGAATTTAACCTCTCATTAAAACATGAGCGCACAATGCGCGTTGAATTATTTACCTTTGACTTACTACTGCCCTCATTGTTTTCCTGCGAGATCTCAGTGTTCTCATCAGGGGTTTCTTTATTGATTGTTGAGTGTTGAATCTCAGACGGCACGGAAACGAGCTCCCAAGAATCCTCCATGTTTTGGAAACTGAAATGCGTTGGACTGGGACCACCAGTAAGTTCGTAAGATTTTCGGAAAGAGGCCGGAAGGATGCCAGCTGTGCCAAATGTGATCGTTCAAAGAAGAAAGATGAAAAAACCCCTCGCCTGTGCGAATAACTCTTTACTTTAATGAAAGCTTTTGTAACCAAAAACCACGCTTATTTTAAATATTTATCCCGGAAACCGTGGATTAACCAGATCTAAGAGAGGTCATTCCTCGCAGTCCAGCAATTTCCGAACTTTACCGACATAACTCTACCGTCGTAACATGTTTTGGTCCCAGTTTCCCATCCTCCTCCATGCTTTTTACGTGCGGGGTATGATTTTAAGCAAGAAAAATTAGACTGAAACCACGAAAAAAAAAGGTTTTTATAAACAGGTTAAGTGTTGAAGGTGGGTTTTTTTCCATATTTTTACTGCACTGCTTAACTGAGAAATTTTTTTACCTTTAAGAGATATTTTTTTATCCTTAAGCGGCCAATATGATGCCAAAATGGCGACCTACCGGCAAATTTAATATTTCGGCATGTATTGCATAAGTGTGATGCCTTTGCCGTGGAAGACTGTTAAGAATTGATCGTGATTCAAAGAGGATAATCTTAGGTACATAAATTGTTCTAGTGAAATCATCACCCAGGCTAGATTGACGCAGACTGAAGCGGTGAGGCAGCACGCAGTTGTGTCAACACGTGGTAATCCATGTGCGTTTGACTGAAATATTTGATTGTAGTTCAGAGTAGCCTTCTGTTGATTTTTTATTTACCAGAGTGCATAACTACATTATTTTGACAAGGCGTGGTGGGACGTTATACGTTTTGTTTATGCATGCCCTTCTCAAACTTGTTTAATATGTGTGCTTTGCAGAGGGGTAGAGATATTTTAAAACTGTCAACGAACTCAACCAAATTGACTTCATAGCACTGTAAGATTTCTGCACAGCACCAAGCTTAGTAAAATTTCCGCACAGCCTGATACTACATTATACATTCAGTTCTTGGATAGAGAAAACAATGACAAAAACCATACATTGCCATTGGGAAAACAAATATGTTTTTACAATAGTATGAGGCTGTGTGGAAATTTACCTTAAGCTTTACTATGTTTGCAGTTCTTGAATAAGGGAACAATTTGTGAAAAAAATGATGAAAACTGTAAATTGCCTTAGGGACTATGGCTTTACTTTGCAACAGTATGGGCTGTGAGGAAATCTTACACACAACTTTCTGCAGGAAGCAGCTTTGGATTCAGAAAGGATTCTTTTTCATGGGGAAACATCAACTAGAAATTAGCTGTCTTATAAGCAATATATGAAAAATAACATCCAAGACTGTCATGAACAATTGACTTCAAAAATCCCTGCAAGAAGCAACTTTATATTCAGAGAGGATTTCTTTTTTTCATAATGAAACATTAACTACCTGCACCATCTCATGTTGGATATAATCACATCCAGTATTAATGGGTAGCCATATGTGACCTTTGTTCATTTAAAATTAGGTAGATAGTCATGCAATAGTTAGCTAATAGAGATTTTTAGATTCCCTTAGTAGCCCACATGAAGTGTCAAGGCTTTGTCAACAACCAACCAACTATTTAATTATTTGTTTATCAATTGATATATATTTGGGAAGCAGGGTTTTTCTCCAAGTCCTCCAGTTTTTCTACCTCCACAGAAACCAATATTCCAAATTCCAAAGCGACCTAGAAACAGTGACAGGAAGAGTCACCTCATGGATTGTTCACTGCTAAATAATTATTATTGTCATTATTAACGATGAAAATTTAAATTATAATTTAAGTACTTTTGATAGTTATTATGGTGACAAATTGTTTTTTGTTTTTAGACCAGAGATCAACCAAAGGGGTGTGAAATTCCAAAATGTCTGCTTCGCTGAGGAGAGCCAGCATGCTGCTGTTAACGAGAATGAGGAATCATCCATCAAATCACAGTTTGAGAACCACTTATTCTGTAACCAAAAGGTAAGACACCAGCCCAGCACTGTTCTTTAATTTTAGTTGGCTTATGATAGGGTTACAGAAATTCATTTCTGTGCACTGTAAATATATTTCTTTACTCGCTAATTGAAATGCTTGAGGCAAAATCACCCTTGCAATTTTTTTTGGTCATTTATAAATTGTTTTATATTTAAGGAATGTTTGTATGTGGCACTTTTGTTGTTGCGACCTTTCCTCTCCAGTTTTCCCTTTGTTTTCAGAAAAGAACCTACAATCATGGACGAAACTGTTAAGACAGTTAAACAAATTTCATGTCAATTTGCAACTGTCTCTATTGAGAAAAGACATTCTCCTCCTCTTCCCCCATCAATCAGTGTTGTATTATATGTTGGTTACATGTTTTGCAATCAATTTTCTCTATTATTTCAAGTAACATTGAATTGGGAGAGGGGTAAATGTGCTTTTCGAGAGGGAAATATTATTGATATTTCTTGTAGGAGTGAAATCTAGATTTGTGGCAACAGGTTTTGTCTAAGATGATACTGTACAGGTGTTTTCAGTACTGTAGGTATGCAAAACTGTCCACCTCCTAAGGGTTGGATTTGTTTAGGCTTTTGAGATTCTTCAAATGCACTGAAAGCTAAGCAAGCCTTTGGTTTTGTTAAAAGTGAAACTGCAGGAACAGTGCTTGACTGATGACTACCAGTACCTGCCAAATGTTTACCACTTGTTGCAAAATTTCCAATGAGACTTTGTGCAAATAAATGTCCTTGAATAAACAAATGTGTTTTATTCCCCAGGTCTCCCAGTCCAGTCAGTTACCAGCTACCAAGAGCACTGTCAGTATTGCATCCTCAAGTACAGGTACTTATTTTATGGATGAGTTCAATAAAACAATGCCCTGTTTCACCAAATATTGTCCTGAAAATTGTGAAACTGACTGAATAAATTCTACTTTTTATCTGCTTTGGAACTTTTTGTGGTTGTGTTACCAAGAAAAATGAAAAAATATATAGATTTAGCCAAGCCTAAAAGCGGAGCTCACATTTTTATTTTTTCCCCACACAACTTGTCCTGGCCAGGACTGGACTACTGAACAAAGCCGAGGCGTTGGCGTGCCTGCGGTACAGTTGACCACGCATATCAAAAGTAGCACCTTGTACGGTCGTACAACCAAATTTTTTGGCTTGATGGGTTACTACTATTTTGTATAATTATGGGGCTACACTCTGCGAGCTCCTCTATAAAGTATTTCAAGAAGATTTGAAGTTCTGATCTTCTTGTCCAGGCATTCTGCCACTGGATTACAGGGAACTTTTTTGTAAGCTAGGCTATTTACAAGATTCACATGTAACAGATGTCCTGCAAACTACCATAACATGAACATTGTCAGGAGCACCATGTTGATTTTTAATAAAATAAAAAGAGATGATGAATTTTAAAATCACTTGTCAGAGGAACTCAGATACTTTTTGTTTCCCACTCTCATGGCAACTTTCAGCTTTCTTCAATGGAATATTTTGGTCATTTTGATAAATGTGGTTTCATGTAAATAGAGAGCCAATATGTGTGTTAAATTGAATTGAAGCCTGCTCACGGTGCATTATAGCAGTAACTAATTTTTGAGATTAGGAGAAAATTACCTGATGGTACATGTACTCATAATTTCATTTTATTTTAATGGTATAATACAGTAGATTTATATTAGTTTACTTTGAATTCTTAGGAAGTGGATTCAAATGGAAAAGAGCTTGAAACAGGAGACTTCTCAAAATTTAGATTATCTCAAGAAACTGTTGAGCTTCTGAAAGGTTGGATTGATTTTTCTTCTGATTGACAGATTTTGTATATTTTCATAGAATATATCCAAAGTAAAATATAGGTCACATTACACTGATTGTGGTGCTCTAACTCTGGCAGTAGTTTGACAGTTTTTGTAGAAAAGCACAATCCAAAAATTTTAACATGCTTTGTTTTCATAAACACTTTCTTGTAACTGACAATGCAATTTTTATTTTTAGCAAAGAGCATCACTCATCTTTTCCCGGTCCAAAGTGAAACATTTGACTTCATTTATGATGGCGAAGATGTTATGGCTCAAGCAAGTAAGTCTAGGAATATTTGTGTTAAAATATGAATTCAGTAAGTGGGTCTATTTAAATGAAATTATTTATTCACCAATAGCATGCTGAAAATGTCTTATCTTGACCAGTGTATGATCATTGACAATTTTAAATTTCATAATTCAGCTGAACTTCAATTACAGAAATTACAAAACTGTAAACCTTTAGAAAAAATGGGGCTTGAATGAGTGCCTTCCAGATAGTAAATATCAAACAATTTTTTAACCCTCTAACTCCCTCCCATGAGTGACCAAGGCAGAATTTCTCCTCACAACATCATACAATATCAAACATATAAGTGATGAGAATAAAGAAGAAGATCAATTTGGGGATGATTAGTTGATCCAATACTAAATACTCTGAACTAACAATTACAAGAATTGTATGGTTGACAGTAAGGAGAATGACAAATTTGATCTGGGAGTTACAAGGTTACGTATGTTAAGCTGAGGAGTGCCCATTGTGCTCTAACAAGCAATTGCTGGCCAAAAAGGTTCTAGCTTCATCTAAGGCACAATTTTGTTTTTAAGGCTTTTTTGTAGGAGTTTGATAAATTTCTTTACTTTATTTTACTTTGTTACTTATGAGGACAAATTTGTGACTCATTTAATAAATATATTTTTCATGTTAAATAGGGACAGGCACTGGGAAGACAGTAAGTGGAAAATTGTCTTGTTATCATTTAAATAATTGCAAGTACCATATGGACTGGAGCACAAATAAAATTACAACCAGGATTCCAATGACATGTCCATATTTTCTATCTTCAGAGATAAAATCTTGTGTGAAGATAAATTAAAATAAACATGAAACATTAAAATTTTGGCCTTAGCTTCGTGTTGATGATATTTATGTTCTTTATTTCATAGCTGTCCTTTATACTACCTCTAATTGAAAAACTCAAGTTAGAAAATCGGTCTGAATCTTATAGACAAGCTCCAAAGGTATGTGCAAAGGCTCTGAGAAGACATTAAGATTTCCCTAAGAACCTGAGTTTACTTTGTTTCTTTTAAAATGTAGGACAAAATTAATGGTTACTTAAGATTTGCAGGCAGGTAGTTTCACAGGCCTAGTAGGCCTCATGTTTCTTTGGAGGCTCAGGCTCACCCTAGCATATTTTCAAAATATTAGCTCTTGCAATAGCATTCTCCTGTTTGATGAGGTCTTTTCCAATTTTATGCTGCTTTGTCAGTCCAATAGGTCAATCAATTTTACTTATGTGTCCCTGACCGTGTGTTCATTGGAGAACAGAGGAAAAGTTACAAAAGTAAAATGCAAGAGCATATGATTGGAAGTCTAGTCTATTTCAAACATCTAATAATCTGCAAAAAATAGAAATCAATTAGGAGAACATTCAAACACTTGTTGTATGTTGTAGGTGTTGGTTTTGGCACCAACAAGGGAACTTTGTAAACAGGTAGGAATCTTTATTTTTGATTCTCAAAATACATGTAATTGCAATTATAATAATTGTCATTTTAAAAAAGTTTCATTAGCCTTTCATTAACTTTTCCCAGCACCTAATTTCTCTGTACCATATCATCCTGAATAAAACATTAAGGTCAGGAGAATAAAAGAACTGATCATCAACTGAAGAAGCTCTTGATTGTTAGACAAATTCTCCTTGTCAACACCTTTAAGTAAATGTATAGAGAGCAGTATGGAGAACATGAATATTGATGTTAGGGTGTGAAGGGTTAAGTAGCTTTACTTGAATTTGGATCTCTTTGTGTTAGTCTGTTATATTTTTGAAAGCTTTGATCATAAAATTCCTGATTTACTTTTCATTTTTCTTTAAAGTGAAGTACCTCATTACTATTTGTTTGTGTTAAATTTTATGAGTTTGGAAGAAATATTTTTGAGTTTTTGTAACTCACAGCTAATCTACTGATACTGACAAGTAAATTGAATTCCCTTTATTTTATCTTTTCAGATCGGTGGTGAATTTGACTATTTCAAATCAGGTCTAAAAGTGGGCTGCTTTTATGGAGGAGTTCCAGTCGGCCCCCAAGGTAAGTGACATCGCAGTTGACATATGTAAATAACCTTGATCTCATCCTCTGTCATTGTAGACAGCTTGTAAGAGAGAGCTTGTTGGCATTACTAGCTCACAATCTTTCTCTGAGCTACCATGTTTAAGTCAGGAATTTCCATCTCTCTCTAACCTTTCTCAATTATGAAAATCGAAGATGGTGGCCAAACTTCTCACTAAGAAAAAAATGAACTAAAATGGAACTGTAAATGTAAATGTTCTTTGGAACAAGGGAATAAAGAAACTGGAATTTAAATTTAACCTTGGTTTAGTGCTAAATGGTCTTCGAACAACTGGGTCCAGATAATTAACCCTTTCGCTCCCAAGATCTCTGAGTAATTCTCCTTACTGTGTGCCATACAATTCTAATGATGTCAGGTTGGAGGATTTGGTTATGGATGGACCAATAATCCCCTAATTGACACTTTTTTTTCTTTTCCCATTACTTGTCTGTTTGATATCATATTGATACTGTAAGGAGAAATTATTTCTTGGTCACTCATGGGAGTTAAAGGGTTAAGGTGACTCTCCATCTCCATTTCAGACTCTCATCAGCCTTCCTCAGTTGTAAAAATCAAAGATAGTGGCCAAACTCTTCATTTACCCTTTAACTCCCAGATCAAAATTTGTAATTCTTCTTACTGTCAACCATACAATTCTTATAATTATAATAGTTCAGAGAATTTAGTACTGGATCAGTTATCTGGTTGATATTGTACTGATATTGTAGGGAAAAATTCTGTCTTGGTCACTCATGGGAGTTAAAGGTCAAGAAATACATGTACTATAATCACTCACTGTATTGTATGCACATAGCCACCATGAACTATCAGGTAATTAGAGTGGCTCTGCATTTACATTACAGACGTAGTAAGAGTTTCCGGAAAGAGGAATCTTGATACTCTGATTGCAATTCAATGATGATAAAATGACCAATTGATAAGAAATGATTACATGAACATGTGTATGAATGTGACTTATCATCAAAATGTCATTGTCTTGTTTTGATGGGCAATGATTGTAACTTAGGGTCACTAATTTGCTTTTTGTTATATTAACTTTGGCAGCTGATGCAATTGAAAGAGGTCTGGATATTGTAGTTGGAACACCAGGAAGACTCATGGATCACGTGGTTAATGGAAGTCTAAACCTCAGAGAGTTGAGGTAATTTTGAATTCTTCTTGTATATAAAAAGAAAATTACACTTTGTTTACCCATAATGACTTCCCATAAGTATTTGAAGTGTTGTGGAGTATGAATCAAGTAAATCTACAATCGAACCTGTCTTAAGTGGTGCTGTATTAATCAGTTGTTTGTCAAAGTCTCGAAATTCTCTCTCCTTTGGTACTGAAACTTTCACCTCTGGTCTTGCTCACCCTTTACTAAGTCCCAGCAGTCTGTTTGTTTTTTCCTCTACCTATAATGAACGGTCACTCAAAGAGAACTCCTCAAATAAGACTAAATATAATCTTTAAAGTCAAATTTATTCCATGTTTACCTCTTGGGTATCTCCCGAAATCAGTGTTGGCACTTTGTGTTCAAATGTCCTCAACACATCACAGATTGTTTTTCTTCTTAGGACTGTTATGATCGTTGAATATTTGGTTTTTTATAAGATTCTAACATCAATTTAATAGTAGTTTAAGGCCTCATTTAAACTTTTGTTAGTGTTATGGTTGAGATGAAATGGCATTTTTTATCACGTTTGACCCCTATTATGTAAAACCTATGGTAAGCGGTCACCTTGCTATTCCCCGTTGGTGACTGCCTAATAATGGATCGACTTTATTGTTAAATTGCCGCTACATCTTGCAACCGGTGTTACGGTTTTCTTTTAATCATAACGTAATCATAATGTTTTATAGGTATGTGGTCATCGATGAAGTTGACAGGATGTTAGATATGGGATTTTCAGACGTTGTTGATGACATTCTTCAAGAATCATACAGCTACGGTAATTGAAAATAGACATTTTAAAAGTTGGAGTATGTACATTGACTTTGAGCAAGTCAGTTATTTCAAAACAGTGCGTAACGGGTTGTATATTATCAATATAACTTACGTCCTCAACAAACCATTGACGCTGGCAACGTAGAGAAGGTTCCTTCGATTTATAGTCCTCAGCTGAAAAAACAACATTTTCCAAGGATTTGCAAATTAAGTAAACCTGTAAGTCGTTCAAAACTGAACAATGATTTGGGCGAATCTTCGCAGTAATGAATACCATCGCGATACCGGTGCAGTGCTCTACCAGCTACCAACATAATGACATGCGCTGTTGGCTTGTTAGCTCAGTTGGTAGAGCATTGCACCGGTATCGCAGAGGTCATGGGTTCAAATCCTGCACAGGCCTGAATTTTTTCAAGGCCTTGTTATTTCACTACTGCCCAAGTAGTGATAATTACTGCGAAGATCGCTTTCATATTCATTACTTAAACCGCAGTTCACATTACTTTCATATATTCACAGTCATTGAGACAGACAAACGTTCCTCTTCAATAATGATAATGTACAAGTATGTCACGCCATATGCGTGCGCCGTAGCGTGTAGCTAAGCCAATCAGATTGAAGTATTTGTTATATTTCCCTCGTAGATTCGCGCCAACACCAGTTGTAATAAAACTTTTAGTATCGATTTGTCTGGGGGTCGGACTCTCCCGTCCAGTCCGTCTAGTGCATTTCTAATTCAGCTAGCTTGGCGGCAGTAACATTGAACTTCTCTTGACTCATCTCGTGTGTGTTTCATTTTAGGGGAGAAGCCTCAAGCATTGTTGTATAGTGCAACATTACCATCATGGGTTCACAATACAGCCAAGAAGTATATGAGTGAAGACAAGAAAGTAGTGGATCTTATCGGGACACAGTCACTGAAGGCAGCTGAAACTGTGCAGGTAGATATGTTTATCTTAATTTCTTATCCTTTGTAGGTCGGAGTCACTTGTTACCTTAACACATCGACGAAACGCAAGTTCAATTTGCTTCCAGGACACCCAAAACAAAACAACTTCATTCAAATTTCCCTCGTTTTGGATTTGTTCTCCAGTAAGGAGTGTTTTGCCTTTGCTTTGTTTGTTTGTTTTTTTTTTTTTTTTTTTTTCGTGTTTACTTCTTGTTGTTTTTTCTTTTTTATTTCTTGTTGCTATCATGTGATAACCTCTCAGGAAAGGTATGAATTGTTCTCGTCTACTGTAAAAGTTTGTTGCGGCTTGTAAAACTTTGTTTGCGGCCGCAGGCTCTTTGAAATCGAACCCCCGTTTGCGACCAGTTTTCGTAAGCAAGCGCTAAAAATTTTCAGTTCAGACAGTTTGTATTATTTAGTAGCAGAAGCGCAAAGAAGTTTTGTGCCAATTTTGAGTTATGCACACCAACTATTTTAACATAACTAACATATGGTGATTTTCGTAGTACCGTACTGATCAAATTTTATTTTATCTATTCTAGCACTTGGCAGTCCAGGCCAACAAGGATAACTTGGCTTCCGTAATAAGTGACGTTGTCCAGGTTTGTGAATGTCAGAGAGATTTTAAAACCCTTTACATCCTAACATCAATATTCATTTTCACCACACTCTTCCCCATACACTTTCTTTGGTACTGACAAGGAGAATTTGTTTTACAATCAAAGCTTCTTAGTTTGATGATCTTTTCAATTACACTCATGACCTTAATGAATGATTCAGCATTATTACTGTAAGGAGAAATTGGATGATGGTCACTCTTACAGCTGTAACTTGCAAGAGTTAACCATGATGTTTACGGCAAACGTTAGTAAAGCCCTCAAATTAACCCTTCTTGCCTTCCGCGTTCAGCCGTTTTTGCGCCAGAATGAAAATATTTGATTGATTGGCCGTTTTTATGCTAGAGACGTTAAAGTTGTCTAAGACGTTAAAGTCGTCTCGTGAGACGACTTTAACGTCTCAGACAACTTAAACGTCTCTAGCATAAAAACGGCCATTGCTGTTTTTCTACCAGTTTAGTATCTCCTATAGCCAATTGTTCTTAACTTCAGCGGGCAGACAATGGGTTATGAAATAAACTTCAAATGTTTTCAATGGGTTATCGGTGCAATAAGTGATAGGTTTTTGACCAATCAGGGCGTTCCTAACATCTCAGTTATGTTACTTATGTTCTCTGACATTAGGACATCGTTGTTTTTTTCCTCTTCACCACAGGTATACTGCGGCGCCCACAGCCGAACGCTCATTTTTACCGAAACAAGGAACGAAGCAAGCTATTTGGGATTGAATTCTGTCCTGAAGCAAGTATGTTATAGTTTTAGGCAGGCTCACTGGTGTCAAATTCTAAAGCTAAGGTTCTTAGGTATAATTTTGATATGAGGGGTATAGTCCTCTAAAATCAATGCTTAATTCAGATTAACGGTTGCCCTACCGAACACAGCCGTCAAACGTCTGCGCATCTGCGAACGGTGTAATGACTTAGTGGTGTGCTTTCAGGTTTTTAGAACCAAGTTGTCTCAACTGCACAGCCTAGTAAGTCAGGGTGTTTTAGAAGCGTAAAACCTTTTTTGTTAAAGCTAAAAAAAACCGGTAACTCAACAGGACACGTCTTACTTGAATAAACTTTTTGTTCGAAAAGTCTCGAGTTTTCCTTTTCCCTATTTTTATGTCCTTTCCAGTACAGATTTCTATGAAAGTTTCAATTTTCGTTTGCTTATTTTTCGAGACAGCAGTTGTTTTAAATGTTTTCCTGTAAAACTTTGCGCGAAAGTTGGCGCGGCCACCCAACCTCATGATAGAGTACCTCCTCGTTGCTGTGTTAAAGATCCACGTAAACAAGCAATGAACCTCCCTTCCATGCACCCGTCAATCAAACTGCTCGAAAACTCAAAGGCACTAGTTATAACGCAGTTGCACACACTACGTTAGCCTGCATGTATGACAAAGACTGCTGACCCGGAGAACCCGCTGCGGTCTTTGTTTTTTAAACTTTGTCATTTCACAAAAGTTAACAGTGTTTTATCTCTATGGTTGTGTCTTTCCGACAGTAATTGTGTAAAATCTATGATCCTGCTATTTTTGTTATATTTAGGATGCACAAGTTCTTCACGGAGATATTAATCAAGAACAGCGAGAGATAACCTTAAGGGTATGTGTCTCGTCGCACCTAACTGTATTATGAATTTAAGGGTGTCCAGGAAAATTTACATTTAAATGTTGCTTTTTGCGATGATGTGTTATTTCTGTGAGGGTGAACCAAAGCAAAACAGTCCTTGATTAGTAAGGTTTCTCAATTAACCCTTTAACCCCCAAGAGTGACCAGCATCTAATTTCTCCCTATAGTATCACCCCTAAATCAAACATTAAGGTCATGAGAATATTGGAAATGATCAACAAGTACGGGAGGTCTGGATTGTTAACCAAAATCTCCTTGTTAGCACCTTAGGAAGAGTATAGAAAACAGAATGGAGAATATGTGTACTGATCTTATGGTGTAAAGGGTTAAAATTTCTCTATTCATTTTGCCTAAACCCTGATTTTTTTTCCCAACGAACTGTTTGTTGCTAGAGTTTTCGCGAAGGAAAAGTACGGTGTCTTGTAGCCACAGATGTTGCAGCAAGAGGTCTGGATATCCCTGAAGTGGACCTGGTTGTTCTAACGCAACCACCAAAGGTGAGTATGAAAGGACAATCTCTACATTATTTTCTGGCTCCTTTAGTCCAGCTTTCTAACTGCCATTCATTAAGCTCTCTTTAGGCAAGTCAATTCCGTCGAAAGCGTAATTCAGTCATTAGCAGGTTATAACACGCAATTTGAAGATAACAAACTCGTATTTAGCCACCAAAGGTAGGACAAATTGAAGATAAATATCTATTTGGTGGAGACAAACCTAGTTTTAAATTTACGGCCCGCCAAAGGTACCATTCGTGACGCACTTAGCAATTACGAGATACATCGACGCACAAAAATTACTTTTTCTTTTCGTTTTGTTTTTTTCTGCCGTCATTTGCATCCCGTTTTATTTAGAAAAACCACATTTATGCTTTGCATTCTCAACTAGCTTTTATGATTACAAAGAAGTTGCATATTAATTCTTGAACTCTCAGAATTGATTAACATGTAACTTCACCCTGTAATATCCACACATAATCCAGCAAACAGTTACTAAGAATAATTAAACTTATCAGGTAGAAGTTGTTATCTTGATCTAACACTAAATCCTTGTGACTGATTTACAAGAAAAAGTGAAGTAGCGAGAGGGGAGAATTTACATTCAGATTTTGGGAATTAAAGGGTTAATTTTTGTGTCACTTCAGGATCTTGACATGTACATCCATCGTTCAGGAAGAACGGGTAGGGCCGGCCGTAATGGAGTAAGCGTTGTAATTCACGGTCCAGGTCAGCAGGCGCAGTTGCGTGCAGTGGAGAAAAGTACTGTAAGTGCATCATTGAGGTTATTGATTATTTAGTTTTTGGCACATTCAATAGCATGTTCCTCTTTTAAGCAGCTTTGAGTCGCTTGCAGTGTGGCATAAAGAGTTTTCAGGATTGCTATTTCGCAAATTTGTGATTTTGGAGGGTTTGCAATGACAAGTTTTTTCCGTTGTTTTTTTTTGCGGCATGGGGTTCAAACAGCAGATCTAAGCATTAATTTTTCTTGTGTTATCAAATGAGTACGAGTACAATTTGGAGTGGATATAAACGAGTGAATTTTCAAGAGACTTAACAATTTGTAATCTTGAAAAATTAACCTGTACTTTATATTTATTTTAGATTTCACTAGATATCATTTTATTACGCATAAGAAATAACGCTGTGTGTTGATGTTTTGTAGTTCAGTCTAAAGTGTCAATTATTCAGATCCTTTTAATGTTACGTATGTTATTCTTAGGGATCAGTCAAGGGGGCTGGAGGATTTTGGGGGATCACGTAGTTTTTAGGGGGAAACAGAGGGGAGATCAGTCGTCGCCAACAGTGTGTAAAGGGGGACTGTGGAGAATTAGGGGGATCACGTGGTTTTAAGGGGAACAGAGGAAGGATCGGTCGTATACAGAAAAATAATATAGAAAATTGACTGCTAGTTGACTGCCATTGAAAGGGAAGGGGGTACCATAAGGATGGTACAGAACCTTATAGGGGGATTAGGTAAATTTGATCGTGCTACATCCAAAATACTCCAACCTCCCCATTCTCAGGCGATGATCAATGACTGGTCCTTGAACCCTTTTACTCCTAAGATCTCATCAGCGATTCTCCTTACTGACTTCCATACAATTCTTATGACGTTAGCTCCGAGAATTTGGAGTTGGATCAACTGATAATCCCGTAATTGATACTTTCCTTGTTCTCATCACTCTTTTGCGTGATACTGTATTGATGTTGTAAGGAGATGTTCGGTCTTGGTCACTAATAGGAGTTATAATAAAGCTCGGATATAACACGTACTGTCATTGGTTGAAAGAGCGTGCTCTATGATATGGTTGAAAGCTGTCACGCCATTTTTAACGGTTTTCACGCTTTTCAGTTTAAAAGAAATTGCAAAGGTTTGCAAAAAGCCAGGCGTAATTTACGGTAACGTGAGCAGAGACAAAAAATCAAAGATAAAACAAGAAACACACGGTTTTCACGCTCAGTTAACGAGTTTACGTACGGTAATAAAAATCAAACACAGCTAACACTTGTTTAGTATATAGAGTTTCGATTTCAACTAGAAAAAAACAGGAATTGTGAAAAATATAACCTGGCATAACTGTTAAAATTCATACTAATCATGACGGTGTCAAAGACTTAAGGTCTATCGCGGCTAGCTAATCATGGCGATCTTCGGTCATCGCAGTGGAGCAAGCCTCAGGAACTAAATCGACTACCCTTCGAGTGAAAAAATAAGAGCTTGTCCTGATTACCTTTCCGATGCGTTGAGTGGAAGGCCAGATCAGTCACTGCAACCGAGTTTTACGGCGCTGTCATTCCGAGCGATCTTTTTGTCTTGGTGAATTCGGCTGTTGTTCATTCATAATACACTCGCCTTGAACAGTTTGTTTTCTACTTGTAATGTGAAATAACTTGCGTATTTTTGTGAGCCACGATTGGGCCGAATTTCACTGAACATTTCACTTTCAGATCCTGTATTAGAAACTAAAAAACTTCAGGCAAAAGTGTTAAATCCGACATGCCGAGCTATTTTAGTTTGTAAACTATTGCAGAATATGAACTTTGATGGTTTATGAACTTTGATGGTTTGACATTTTTGACAGCTTTAGTCTTGTACAGCCAATCAGATTATTTGGGAGGAATTATTTAACAGGAATTCTGATTGGCTTATTGTAGCGTGCTTTATGAGAGTATAGAGCATGCTGACGACACTGTTTTTCGCTTTGGAAATAAGATTTGTTTTGAAAATTGAAAGTAATTCTTGGGGAATTTAACGGATTCTTTATTATAAAACAAATAGAGAAGCCTTGACTGTGCTCTGTTCTGTTGTAACGCACTTAGGAAGCGGCTAGAGCACTCAAGAAGTAGGGAGAAACACTCGACTACGTCTCGTGTTTCCCCCTACACTTCTTTCGTGCTCTAGCCGCTTCCTGCGTGCTTTACAACAGAACAGAGCACAGTCAAGGCTTCTCTATTTGTTAATTAAGGGGTTAATACACGCTGTATGGATATTATTGTTTGTCACGGGGATTGATTAATCACGTATTTGGTTCAAACTTTTTTACCTTCATGTTTTGTATAGTCATTTATTTATTGATACATTGACAAGTTAATCTATTTATTGCAGGGAATCAAATTTAAGCGCATTACACCTCCATCAGCAGACGATATCATTAAGGCTTCTGCTTCAGATGCAGAAAGGTAAGAACATACTTTTTTGAATCCTAAAGACACCCCTTAAGATACATAAAGGGTAAGATTTCCGTCAGCAGTTGCCCCGGTTTCCATAGCATGAGGGGAAAAAGAGTATCACTCTGGGTATAGCTGTTTTTTTCTTGGACGGGTTCTACTCCAAAGCACATAACCTTTCCACCCACCCGTCCCCCTCCACCTTTTGTCTCCCCATAATTCCTCAGGTCTTTTTACTTCTGGCCCTGATTGTTTGATGGCTGAATATGTACTGTGTATCCGGTCTGTGCTCGAACTCGTTTGCATCGATGTGGTTTGTCTACCCTTCAGGCCTCGGTCTCTTTTCATGCTACATTTATCTGGCCGAGAGAAGTACTTTTTATACGTTTGATGTGATCATCATTCTCTTCGCCAGGTTTATAGAGGAAATTTCTCCTGATGTGGTGGAGAAGTTCCGAGATTTTGCTCAAGCGCTTGTGGAAAAACTTGGAGCTGTTGAAGCATTAGCAGCTGCACTGGCGCACATCTCCAACACGAAAGAGATCAAATCGCGTTCTCTCATAACAGGCGAAGAGGTGTGTTTTGTGCAGTAAAGTTATTAAGCCGGTAGTGAGAGTTGATTTGTCCTACAAGGACTATTTCCACCCCGTTAAGGCCGACATTGACTGGCGATTCAACAATATGTGGGAAGGCATTATCCCAGATGGCGCTGAATGTGATGATGACTTCTGCACGGGTTGAAGAAACGCCAGTCAAGATGGAGGTTCTCTTCAGGACTAGCCACCCTCAAACCATCACATTACATTGCAGCTTTGTAGAGCCTCAAGTTATTTCACTTGAATTGAAGAGTCCTCCAAGATTGGTCGTGAAAACTCGCGCCACCTTACGATACAAGTCTGGTAATATCCAGTCACGTGACACATTTAGACCAATCGCGCGCAATCACTGAAAAGTTTGTGATGGATTTTAGTCAAAGTATTGATGTTAAATTGTTCAGAAAATAATTAGGCTTCAGAGCCTTCTTAACTCCCAAAACTCTGATTGATAATTCTCTCCTAGAGCGCTCATTAATCAAGATAACACTATTTAGCCGAAAAGTTATTTTAAGCTATTCGTGTCACCCATTTAGTGTAGTGAGATCGTGAGGAGAGTGACAGAAGTTTCATATAACTCAATCCTGGTCGTTGCTTTTTTTCTTTTTCGATTTGTTTTCGTTTCGTGTCCCAGGGTTTCATCACTTACTTATTGAAATCTCGTTTGGAGATGTCTGGAACAGGCTTCATATGGAAGGCACTGGAAACGTTCCCAGAGATAAAAAGACATGCGCGCAACATGAGACTCTGTCAGGACAGTATGGTAAGGAGTATTTGATTTGTGTTACATCACTTGTCAGGGCGTGAAATTAAATTTTTTTTTCTGATAGCCACTTGGCTCCTAAATTCTTTGGTCGTTGGTCGCCATTTTCAAAGACAAACAAAACCTTTTTTTACGCTGTCAGAGTTCTAGATTGACCCTCAAAAATTAAGTTAGAGAAAAGATCTTTAAGGAGCTACGAAGTGGACACTAGGATGGTTGATATACAACTTTTAAGCTCAACTAAATCCAAGATGGCGTCTAGTTATCGATAGGGATGCATGTGCTGCGTTTTGGAAACAAACTTAACGACGAAGTTTAATTCACTATATCTCTTGGAAAGGTTATGATAAAACATTCTAGTCGCCAATTTGGCGACTAATTTTCAGGATTTGGTCGCCAAAGTGAAAAATTTAGTCGCATTGGAGCCTGTATTAGGCGCAATTTCACGCCCTGCTTGTCGTATCTCTCAATAATCACGTGCGCTGTGATTGTTTATTTTAGCCGATGTACTCTACATGCTTATTAAACCCGTTACGACCCAGCATCAGTTTACATATTCTTCATACTATTCTCGATACATTTCGCAAAGTGCTGACAGGGAGAATTTGTTGAACAATCAAGAGCTTCTTTGTTTGCTGATCAGTTCCTTTATTCTCCTACCTTGATCTTTGATTCATTAGTGATATTGTAATGAGAAGTTAGATGCTAGTCACTCTCAGGGGTCCAAAGGTTGATAAACCTTATTTGAGCTAAATACCAATTGTCCAGCACAGATCGCGTTAAATCCTCGGGAGGTCTTATTCCTTCTCTTAAATTTGAAGGCTGAATCCAGGCGTGAATTTGAGTAATGTGTTTAGATTGTAATCCCTAGAGTACCGTTAAATGGTCTCCCACGAAACAGTAAGATAACAAGGCGAGTAAGGTCTATTTTCGCTCGATCTCGTTGAATGAACCGCTCCATGTGATAAAATTTGTTGGACCCCAGTCTGACTTGATGTTTTTCCGAAAATATAGTTACACAGAAGAATTTTTATACCCGCTCCAATTCCATAGTTATCGAAGCGGTAGAAATAACTCAGGGATAAAAAACATTTTCAGAATTGGTTTTGCTTTCTCTGCCTGGAAATTGTATTTCTATTTTATCTTTAGAAGCCTCGCTGAATATAAGGACGATGACGGGGTTTTTTTTAACAAATTCATCTCTTCTGCATAATACCCTTAACTGACATACTCTCCTCTGTATTTTATAATTGCTATCTGAGCTTTGCGGTTACTCTCGAATCATACGAAGCTAGTTAATACAAAGTACGTGGCGCATTATTGCTTTATTGTGTTTTTTTTCGTGGGGGGGGGGGTGATATCGACATTTTGTAATTCTTTTTTTCCACGAATTTCACTGAAGTATTGTATTTGCCGTGTACTCGACAGGGTGTTGTAATGGATGTGCCTGATCATCTCGAAGATTTAATGGGGGTAAGTTGGGAATAATTGATCGTGCCTCATCACTCAAAGGCTGGTTTTCTCAAGCGAAGGAATCAGAGTCAAATCCGTTTTCCGACGCACAGAGCTACGATTACGGTGTAATGAAAATCACACCAACAGAATGGGAAGCAGAATATCCATACTGCTAGTGACTTCGTCGCTTGTGATCTTGAGAATGTTATGTAAGAAGCTGAACTACGCACGCATTTGGATTGATTCGCACTTATGATCGAATGGAGGACAGACGCAAAGATGGCGTCACCATTGACAACTGTTCCGTGTTTTTATCATATCAACAAACAGATTCTGTGTTGTTTTGGGTCTGTACAGTAATAGATCACAGAAGACGTGAAAATGCGGCTGCGCTTCGTGTGCCTCGTTTTGACGTTATCTGTGATCTCTTGGCAAACAGACGCACAACAATATAGAATCTCTTTTTTGCCGTATTTACTATCAAGATCGAGACGCTTTTTTTTTTTAAATGAAATTCAATCAAAAGGAAATATTGGGAAACGAAATAGAATAAACTGATTTATCTTTCGTTTTGGAAAAATCTCCAGAAACCTTTCCTTGAAATCTTGTACACAAGATGAGAAATTTGAAGTTTTCCCTTTTTTAATCTATGACGCGTGAAATGCAGTTTTAAGTATTTGTGAAGCGTGAATTTTTCTGAACTTTGTGCGTGAAACAGGATCCCCCTTTGCAACCCTCTTACCTTATTTATATGAGATAATTTCTTTTTTTACGCTTAGGTTGAAAATCTTCTTAAGGAAAGGAGAATTTCTGGTGTAGAGAAAATATCTGAACTGCCAGAGTTGAGGCAAAGACCGCAACGCAGTGACACGAGAGATACGAGGTCGATTCGCAGTTACGGTGAAATGGATCGAAGATTTGGTGCAAAGACAGGCGGTTTTCGTGAAAGACGTGAAAGTTATGGTGGACGACAGTCTTTTCGAAGATCTTCTGAATTTGGAAGAACGTCAGAAGTTCTGAAAAGGTGGCAGTAACGACTCAAACGAACTGTGGCTGTGAAATTTTGGGGAGGACAGTCAGGTTTCATTCACGCAGGGCGTTAAATTTCAGCTGGTTCCTCCAAACGAGGTTTTAGCTTTAAAGCATATTATTTGATCGAATTTTTCTGTGAATAATTTCTTTCTGAAATGTATCTTGTGTTCAGTGATCATTTCAATCAGATTCCTTTCATGAATATTTCTTGGCTTCGTATTGAAAGGAATCAAGACATTGTTGAAGGTTCAGTCCATATTGCAAACGCTGTTTCTAAAGTTACTATAAGCTTTTTACTAAAAAATTATTTTACCTTACGTAAATTAGTATTTAAATAACTTACTGAAAGGTGTATGTTATTATTGAAAAAAAGAACTGCAAGCATATTAGTTTAATTTCGCTATTAACTTGAGCGCGACTTTCCCCACTCTGCTAGAAGCTCACCAATAAATTTTCTGCCGCTCAATTCGCAGATAATGTGGTAGTTGGTGGTTTATCCGGGTGACCTTAGGTAAAGTTAACGCATTTACAAAACCTGGTGATGAGAAAGTTCAATCTTGAGCCCAAACATGGAAAGGAAAACGAAACGTTCAGTGCCGCCTAGTTTTAAGGTTTATTTCAAGTAAAACACGCAAGTACACTTCGGTTATGAACAACAAGGATCGATGTCAGTATCTGAGCAACTGTACACCTAGCCCCCCCTAACTCAACATCAACCCTAACTTGTTGTCAGTTGACTGCTGTTGGGTTAGGGGAGGGGTAGGTGTGCATTTTCCTAGATAATGACGTAGATCAGATAGCAACTTAAGTTCTTAGCTGTGTAATAAGAGCGGTAGGACTTTGAATTTTGGTGCTTAAAAGGGAGGCTTTGCCATCCCACTGTTGACAATGTTTGGAAAAATTTAAGCTACCTAGAGAGATCAGATATTGAAATTTTTCTTCTGTGTATTTACTCAACAGGTTTTCTCTCCCATTTTCCCAAGAGTATATTGAGGGCGCCATTTGTACAAAACTGTGCATCTACACTCCACTAAGGCATCTCCCCACCAAATCCTTTTAACTAAAAACTTGTCATATTCTCCTAACCTGTCTTCACGACAGTGTACTGTTTCTTTAAGTAATAGACTGCACTCTAATCGGTTCACTGGCATAGTAAACCACTTGGTATGTTGGGTGTTCCACATTGAGTGAGCTTCCAACATCCCTTGAGGGTTATTACATGGTAAACCAATAGGGGGTGCAGTCTATTGCTTTTATAAAATAAACTTCAATATTCCATGGCTTTATCAGAGCCATAAATAATACGTCTGTGGCCAATCAGTGTGCTTTTACTCTCAGTTACTTCATAATTATAAATATTGTCTAGTCACAATTAAATGTTAAACATTTTTCTGGTACCCAGTTTCTATCAATTCACCCATGTCAGGTTACCTGTTTTCTTATAGAAATTGTCTGGAGTAATCTGTTTTCGTGTCTAAATTCTAACTCTTTATCCTGAAGAACATTCAAATTTCCGTTCACCTTCTTTCCAACTTCTTGAATTTAGCCTCTGTAAACAAATGGGAAAAAGATTATAAGGGCCATTACATTCATCATTTGCTCCATATTCAGACCAGTGGCAGGGAATGATTAACAATTTTGGCAAACTAACAATGGAATTCCCATTTTTTCAGTCAACACCACTTCCCACGACCTTGTAGCAGGCTTCTTTTTTTTCCATGCTCTTGGACCCACAAATACCAAACCATCCCATCCCCTTCCCCATTCATATTTTCTACTTACAACTGAGGAGGGTCTTCCCCTTGTTAGGGAAAATTCTGTGTGTTTCTACCCAACAATTAGACGATTTTACTCTTGTCCCACGAGTGATCAGGACAGAATTCTTTACAGTATCAAAATATTTTTCAAGCAAACATATGATGAGATTAAAGAAGAATGTCAATTGGGGGATTATAAGTTGATCCTAGACCAAATTCTCCAAACTAACATCACAAACTTATGGAAGACTGTAACAAGAGTTAGTAGTGAGATATTGCCAGGGAAAGAGTTTAAACCTTCATGTCGTAAACAACAAAGTCTTACTTGCCCATAGAGCAGCTTTCAACTGAGTGTCAAAAAACCAACTTCAAAGTTATTACAATTACCAATCAGAACACAGATTCTCTCATTAACCAATAAGAAATCACAGTTTAAAAACAGACAACCTGCTTGAGGTGCATGAAAATGTAGTGACTAAATTGAGATTAGTTTTATTTTTGCATTTGATTGGTGGAGATGGTGGTGTGAATTTTGAAGACCAATTACAAGGCATAGCAAAGCAAAAATAAATCAATCCAGGATCATTTTAATTTGTTATTGAACTGGAAACTGCTTTCATATTAACCACTATAATTTAACATTCTTCCTCACCTAGTCTCTTAGAGTAAGCATCCAGTCTGTACGCGGCTTGTTCGAGGCTTGCAACACTTTCCTCTACCTTGTCAATCTGCTCTAAATATGGTTCCAGGTTTTTATCTGAAAAGGAAATTTAATAAATCATTTTATTTTGTTGTTAGAAGTTCTTTTTCCTCTCTTACAACAACATATTTGTTACACAAAGTTGCCACAGGTTAGGAAAGAATCAGGGAAAAGGCAGGGAACATCAATCAATAATTTGTTTAATTTTTTTGTTTAGACCATAATGTAAAAATGGAAAATATATCAATGAATGGATTACCCCTGTGCAAATTTAATTTGCTTACAGTCTATTTTATTTTTATCACAGCAAAGTCATGAAAAAGTCAGAGATTTTTGCAGTGAAGAACTTACATTTTTTGTCTAATTCCTCCATGACTGTGATAAGTGTCTTTGCAGTGTCGGACATTTCACTGTACTTTGAAATTGTCAGCTTATTCAGCTTTTCAAGAAGAACGTAATCTTGTATTGAACCTAACAACAATGTAAAATTAGGAAATGGTCAGAGTAATCTTTGGAGAAGCAACCTATACAGCATAATCCTAATTAGTGAATGCTTAGCAATGTGCTGAAGTCATCAGAAGGTGTTGGGTAAAGTTCTCACCATTTTTTTTTTTTTAATTTTTTTCGGAGAAATCATGGTAGAGTGTAAACAAAAAAAAAAAAAATGGGAAAAAAAATCACTGCAACTTGCTTTTATAAAATTCAAGGAGACATTTAAGGCAAGTCTGGAGTCTGGAACTAATTGTCATTGTTTTAACTTTTACAGACAAAAAAAAAAAAAATGATAAAAGAAAAGGATGGTACCCCACCCCTCACCCCTGCAAACAGGCCTTCATTAAACCCATCATGGCCTTTACTAAATTGCAGTATTCCAATCTCAAAAGTATCGATCGCATTAACTGTGTCAAGTGAATATCTTTTTACAGATCTACGGCTTAACTCATTAATTCCTAGGAACGATTAGTATCTAATTTCTCACAAGAGTATTAACCCTGAATCAAACATTAACGTCACGAGAGCAAGGAAATCAACAACAACCAAAGAGGCACTTGATTGTTTGACAAACTCTTCTTATTTGTTCCATAGCAAATGTATAGAGAACAGTATGGAGAATATACATACTGATGTTAGCTTAGGTGTATAAGGGTCAACAAACGACCATAGGATTCTCAATTGACAATAGTTTTGACATCGGTTTTCATGGGTCGATTGGAAAGTATTCATATAAAGTAATATTCTAAGATACGTAAACAGCAAATTTTGTACCATCTGAACGTATTTTATGACATTCATCCAGCTTACCAGCTAGCTCGCCGTTCAAATATTCGGTGATCTTGGCGAAGGCCTCCCTGCAGCAGTCTTTTAAAGACATCACTTCTCCGCCTGAAGCTTCCGATTTTAGTCCTTCGACAGGCTCTTCTGGTTTCGATTCATATGAGGTATCGTGTGCGTCTTTATCATCACTGCTGGCTTCGAGTTTTGAAGGTGCAGCGTTTGGTTCCATTTTCGCCTCCGTGTCCGCCATATTGGATCTGCAGTGTTCTTCCCAGGTCCTTTTCTTGATTTAACGAATCCCGGTTCTCACGGACTGGTGTGACACGGGTCAGAGAGAAGTTTAGAAAAATTCAGTCTCGTGGAGCTGTCTCGTGGTATTTCTGCTTTTAGCAACTCGTGGCAATTTGTAGAGCCCATCAAGTTCTAGCTTACTAGTGGCCATTTATTCCCTTTGTGCAAATAACAGGATAGAGAAACTGGATACATGCAGAAGCAGTTTTTTTGTGGGAGGCAGGAATGAAGGCAAGAAACAGGAGGAAACACAAAGTTGTGGGTATTTGCTATACATAACTCATCACCGTTTCTAAATAAAGAACAGCTGACAGGAGAGAAGGAAATGGGAAAAAGTAGATTTTCACCCCAAATTCTCCTGAGACCCAATAATACAGAAATGTCAGCACACAGAATCCCTTTTGATGAAACAATATATCACAGTGGGGAACATGTAATTATATTTTATTTTCAGTAAAAGTTATAATACATATGGAGTTCATTTCTATTTTTTTATATACTTAATTGGTTTGAATCATGATTACAGAGTGGTTTACTAAGCTTGAGTTCAAATATTTATACAATCTATAGCACCAGTTGAATATTGCAAGTTGTTCTTTTTTTCCTGTACTGATTTAGATTCAGAGAATTTTTTTTTTACCCACAAAAGTTTGAAAAGAATAGACCTTTTTACAATCTTAATGAACTCCTTTTAAAATTAACATATTTAGATTATTGGGGTAAAAATCAGATAGCTCTGTATTAACCATTTTTCACAGTATTATCAGTATTTATCTTCTCTATACTGTTCTCTATACATTCCCTATGATATTTACAAGGGGAATTTATCTAAACTTCTTGAGATTGCTACAATTTCCTTAACTCTCATGACCTTAATGTTTCATACAGGGGTGATATTTTTGGGAGAAACCAGATGCTTATCACCCTTAGGTGTTGAGGGTTTAATATGGGAATTCTTAGTCTAGATGATTTTTGACACAGTCACTGAAATTGTTAAAACTGTGGTCATCCTTCGCAATTGATGCAATACTAATCAAAAGCCTTTAAGCTGGCTGTAATTTTTTGAAATGATTGTAATTGTGTCAAAAAGTAATATTAAGTAAATTTAACAGAGTTATAGATATTTCAATCTTGAAGTGTTGGCCTTCGTTACACTTTGCCTTATGTAACATTTCCATAACAATATCAATAAATTATTGGTAGAATATAAACACTTCAAAACTCTTTGAGGCAGCTGATTTTGTTAAGAAAACATTGAGTCATGAAGTGTTTCCACCCTGAACTGTTGATCTTGCTCCTTCACCTGCACATAGAAACCACAAGACATTTATTGAATGAATAATTATTAATAGCAATAAATTCTTAATATTTAGTTTTAACATGTGTAGGACAGTTAAATATGAAGCTAGGAAAGCAGGTGCCACCTCATAGCATGGTATGAACTAACTAATTATAAATATATTTCCTGTCTGGCCTGAGGAACATTTGATAACTGTAAAAGAAATAAGTTTATTTTGCTTTAAAAGAAATTCTTATTTTCAGTTCCTAGATGGTAAAGTCACAGAAACATTTTCAAAATGCTCCAAGTTGCAACCTACTGGTATTCATAAAAAATATACCATTATAAGCCCTTAGTCATAAGCAATTGCATACAAAAAAAAGAAACCTGGCTGCCATTCAAATCTGTAATTCAGGCATCCAAATCAAAACAACCTTATAAATATGTTTCTGTTTTTGGATTTCCCAAAATATATAATTTGCTATTTTGTAGCTGCTTGTTTTATAAAGAGCCTCGTGCTGATCAGGGACTGGACTCTCTGTTTAAAACTGCAGGGTAGCACAACTACTCTTGGAAAAGACCCTTACTGTCTCTCTGCCCACCCCTCTGCAGTCTGTATGCTGAATTTAGCCAATTGTCTGGGAAACTATACCCAATGCTTAGGACCAAGTTAATCAAGTAGCATACTACCCTTAAAACTTTGTACAAGACTATTAGCTTTCTGCTGAATTATTTCAAGTTAATCAAATAGCAAACTACCTTTAAAACTTTCATTTCTTCATACTTAGGATCATCTGTAGGCAGCTCATGCCTACACATAGGGCAACTGTTGGTCTAGAATGAAGTGAGAAATTTAATAATTAAAGCCCCTGACAATCCTTAATGGGAGTAATCTATATGGAAAAAAAGACAAGGTCTAAACAAATTTTTTTTTGCAAGGTCATCACCATTATGACAATATGTCCAAAAACACAAAAGTATCACATCTCTTATAGAGGTATAGAGCACTCCTCCCTGGAAGAGTAATCAAATTAACAAATACACTATTCCATGCTACTGTATGTCTGATTAGTAAAAAAATCACAAATGACAATCAAGAGCTTCTTAAGATGGTGATCATTTTCTTTATTCTCATGACCTTAACATTTGATTCCAGGGCGATATTGTAAGGAGAAAATAAATGCTAGTCACTCTCAGGGATCAAAGTGTTAAGTAAATGTTAAGTCATGTGACTATTACCTTGTTCAGCCACGGCAGAATGCAACTCTTATGGAACATATGATCACAAGGAAGTTTCTTGACAAGTTCACCAATCTGACATCATAAAAAGAAGAAAATAGTTCATGTTTGATACAATGATTCCTGTTCACTTTGTAGGCGTCATTTCATCATAAGAGAAAAAAATACAGTAGGCCCTTCTTGGCTTGTGTCACTCATGCTTAACACTGTGGAGGAAGAGAATTCAAATTACTCACCTTGAATTCCACTTGACATATGGGACATGAACAACCTTTAACTAGAAAGAGAACATAAAAGATAAACATTATTCTTTAAAAGAACACATTCATAAGTTGCCAGACCGTGTACATGTGCAAGCACATCACAGTTGTAGTAATCAATAAGTTAACCAACTAATACTTTTGAGTAGAAGTTGATAGATTGATCTTCACCTCAAAATACAGCTTGACTTTTCCTCAGACATTGGAAAATCAATCAGAGATACTCCAGATGTTGCAACTTTTCACCACAATTGGCAATAATGTCATAATCTTACCAACCAATTTGCTGTTGTCAATAAGAGTACAGACAACACATCTTGCATCAACACATCAAGCAATGCCTTTATCATTGTTTTTATCATCTCTCAAACAAGGAAGACTGTTTTATTTGACATTGATGTTGTCAGTGGTATAAAAACAAATCAAAAGCAGTCTAGCATGGTCTGTATTCTTATCAACAAAGATACTTGTCATCACAGCAGTCAAAATTTTTTGCTGAATCACTGTGCCGCATCTCATAAGTCCACAACATTTGGACTGCTGTGATGACAAATATTGCTGTTGATAAGAGCACAGACCATGCTAAACTACTGTTGATTTGTTAAACAGCAATAGGAAGAGAGAACAAAATTAAACACTCAAAAACTTACCGATGTGTTCAGTAGTAATAGGTATGGAAGGTAAAGATTCAACAACTTCTTTTGAAGCTGGTGGTGCTTGAATTTGATCAAATGCCATTCTGTTAAAAAAAAGACAATCGTAAAATTAAAAAGGAATTTAAAGAAAATGCTCAAATTGACCCTAAGCCTTTTAATCCCTTAGAATGATTGGCATCTAATTTCTCCTTACAGTACCACCCTCAAATCAAAAGTTAAGGTCATGAGAATAAAAGAAATGATCACCAAAAGTTCCTGATTGTCCAACAAATTCTCCTTGTCAGTACTGAGGGAAATGTAACGTTAGCAGTCTAGAGAATATTTATGCTTATATCAGGGTCTAAAGGGTTAAATTAGATGTTTGAGAGAAATACAAACCACAAAAATTGTTCATGTCCTCAAAATTAGGTTAAATATAAAATAATATTACAATGACCACCAATGAGCTTGCGAGTGTTGTGTTTAATTTTATTTTGGCTAAAAGAAGGCCATATCAGTTAAATTTCTGCTTTCTTTTGTCCCAGATGATCGTATTGTAATAGATCTCAGACAAAGAAAAATTAAAATTAGTTTATAAAGTTTTATACTGGTCATATACAATTGATGACATATATTTCAGTTTGATACAATTTCTGGTTAAGATGATTTGAAACTAGTTTGATTTGTAACATCCAAAATGTCCAAGGGATATGTTTGTGTACCCAAAGTGCCTAATATAAAAAAAAGTAGCCTGATGGTCTATTACACCCAATGACAAGAACAAGTCCAACCCCTTTTCAAATGCAAGGAGTATTTCAAACAGCAGAGTCAAGTTTTACTTTTAAAAGCAAGTAAACTTATAGAGGAGTGTTACACTAAACAAATTCTCGAGTAACTTCCTTTCTAGCACATAATTAGCTCGACAATTGAAAAATACAAGAAATATTGATCCAGATTTAGCAAGAAATTACCTGGAAATTTCAAGGATGTCACTTGGAGACAGGAGCATTCTGTAATATCACACAAATATAAGGAAAATGGTTAATGCCAAGCTGCATATGATGAAGGCATGGGTGCTGATTGGCCAGTTTCCTGGTAATGTTATATGTTATAACATCACAGGAAAAAAAAAATCAATGAAAAAAAAAAAACTTATCTATCAAAAAATCCTTTATATTTAACTCTGATGATGCCTTCTACTGTGGTTTTCAAAAAAATATTACTCACTATTTTCAACAACAGCCCTTTTCAGGACTATTACTAAATGGGTAAATTTTGATCACAGTGTCAAACAATTAACATAATTAGTCAAACCAAATTCAGAACACCATTTGTTAATTAGGATTTCAAATAAAGAAATTTGTAATTTATTCATAAAATTTAACAGTCAATCTTCAAACATTCAATACATCAAAGTAGTTGGAAAGAATGTGATGGCCATTCCAAATTCAGCTGGACAAATTCCACTGATTCAAACTTCAACCCTACCATGGACTTAATTCTCTCAGTCTACTCTCTTATGGAAGGTTTGACAGTTAAACAGGGCCTAAGATGATTAGAGTACAGGATTCACAATGTTATTCCTGCGTTAAACCATTTATCATATTGCAGTCTACCTCAGGGTTGAGATTACAACTCAGATCACCTAGCCTCAGCAGAATTATACCAGAGAACCGGTCAAAAGATGTGATTGCACCAATGTATTAACAACCCAGTATAATTCGTCAAGGTCTTGAAATCTGGCTTACAAGTTTCAGAACATTTTTCGCATTTTAGGACCCTGCACGGACCTTGGATACATAATTAAAAATAAAAATACCTTGCAAGCTCAAGGAAGAAATCTGGATTGCTAGTTCGGTCGGTAAGTTCGTGTTCGTCAAAGTACGAAGCCATTTCTAGCTTTCGGATGACTCAGCAACGTAAGTTATGTTCACCACTAAATTCCCTAATTGTCTCTCCTAATTCAGAGTAAAAGGTGTATATATCTTTTCAGTTTCCAAATAGAGTGAAGCATACACTGAGAGGGAGGAAAATGCTTCCCGTGATGAGAAACGAATTTAAAAGCAGAGAGAGACCTTTATCATTCAGAAATCCACCAGACTACCACCATTTTGTTTTGATTCTACTTGGCGTGGTCACCTATTCCTAGTTCCCAGGGTTTTCATTGAGTATTCATTCCCGGTTCCAGACTTCCCTTCAGTAGTGGTAAGAGTTCACAACAGCCTTTAGCTACCTCTCGCGTAAAAGGGAATGATCCAGACTGATCCCGAAAAAAGGCGTTTTGAACAGCTCAGCGATTCGATAAAACACAAAACTTCGCTGCAGTGACAGTTCATTTAACTTTAATGATATTTTTAGCTTTTGTCATTCAATGAGTTATTCCCTACCACTTACGTTTCTCAGTATTTGTTAAATACATGTCTTACATTTCCTAGAGTGTTCTGCTTGTGTTCATATAATAAGCTGAATTCTACGCAAATTTTGATTGGTTACTTACCGATCTATTGGAGGAAAAAACGAAAACATGACAACACGTAAACGTGAAAAATTTTTTTGCTTCTTTACTATATAAAACAAAGAGATTCGATGTTGTTGCCGTAGGTCTGTTTAACAAATAGATTCCAAGTTGCCGTGCGTCTGTTCAGTGATAGATCATAGATGACGTCAAAATATGGTAAGAACAAAAAAGTCACTTGGAATCTATTTGTTTTATATAATAAAGAATTAAAAAAAAATTTTAATGATGACGTCATCTATACGTCTGTCCTCCAATAGATCATAAGTGAAAACCAATCAGAATGCGTGCATAACTGAGCTTATTATATAATTAACAAATAGATTCCAATTTCCCGTGCGTCTTTTCAGTAATAGATCACAGATGACGTCAAAGTGTGGTAAGAACAAAAAAGTGGCACACGAGGCGCAGCCAAATGTGTCATTGATGTTCTTACCACATTTTGACGTCCTCTGTGATCTATTACTGAACAGACGCACGGCAACTTGGAATCTATTTGTTTTATATAATAAAGAATTAGAAAAAAATTTTAACGATGACGTCATCTACACGGCTGTCCTCCTGTAGATAATAAGTGAGAACCAATCAGAATGCGTGCATAACTGAGCTTATTATATATATAGCAATAGATCTCAGAAGACGTCAAAATGTAGTAAGAACATCACTGACTTGCTCGGCAGTGCTTCTTGTGACGCTTTTTCGTTCTTACCATATTGTAACATCTTTCGTGGCCAACGTGCAGCCGTACCCCTCCCCCCCCCAGGTGAAACTTCCCTTTCACCATGGGGGGTGGAGGGTACGGCTACACGTATGCTACGTTGTGGTCTATTACCGAACAGACGCACAGTAACAAAGGATTTTTTTTTTTTTTTTTTTTTTTTTAACAGTAACATAGGATGCATTTGTTCATTTGATTACTCTTCCAAGGAGAAGTAAGGACCATGGTATTTTAGTGTTGTTTACAGGTAGGTCATCACAAAGGAAATGACCTCGGGAAAAAATTGGCCTTGTTATCGTCGTGGGGGGCGGAGTTTTTTAACTGAATTGATTAGAATCTTGAAACACCACAGCTTCATCGACAGTTTACTTGCAAAACCGTCTAAAAGGATGATCCTTGAACGACGAGACCCAACGGCTTAATGGAAAAAGTTTGCACAGATGCTTGAAATCAGTGATTCCTCTCCCTCGTTATTTACGGAAAATCTCTTCTTTTTATGATAATCTTTTTCTTTTAGGAAAGCTTAGATAATTTTCATCATTTACCACGTGCAACTAATGGTGGTCATCAAGTACATCTGACCCATGCGACAGGTGGCTATCATCTTTCATTATACACGCTTTTGAGGTGTCGTTCTTTTTTGCAATTACATGTATATTGGGGAATGTTTGTTTAGAACTTTAATTCAAAGCGGTCCTTTTGAAATGAACACTCTCTTTTTATCTTCGGTTTTCTATCTTTTAAGTTACACAACGGTAAGTGGACGATATTTAATACAACTACCAGTGGAGCTTTGGTGTGTTAGGGACTCTGAGAAGTACGTCGCTTTCTAAGTCTTCATGTAAATAGGGGTAATCACTCTGGTTGAAGACACTCCTTCTTTCCCTCTCGGCAGTCAATTACCTTTAGTTCCCGAGCGACGGGGTAAATTAAGGCAGCCAACGGGAGTAAGATTGAAAATTTAGAGGCACATGAAGGTATTGTACATGTTATTTTTAAGTTTCATTAGGGTTTTCAAAATCGTATCATGTTACGTGGCTGGCTTTCGGAGAGCGGGTAAGATAATGGTTGGCTGATGGGGCAATGGGGGTCAGGGAATTGCCACGTTTCGTTTCCACGAAAAAACCAAAACCAAAAAAAAAAGCAAAAGGAAAAATAGAAACAACGAAGAAATAAAATCAAGAAATGGCAAAACGGAAAGAAAAATGCTTATAGTAGACTTTTTCAACAACGATGAATGGATAAATATTAATGTCAATAATCTGTGCGTCTTCGCGGATATTGGCAAATAAAAAAGAAGCTCAGTAAAAGCTTAAGCAGTGTGTAGCCATCTTGATAAAACGCACTCAGTCATAGTAAGGATAGCAAAGAAGAATTCTGAAGTGTCACAATGAACCCTAACACTAACTTTGATCTTCCCTAAGGCTCTGTGCTACTCCAATGATCTTCCCTCATTGGTAGTCAATTTTCTAGAGTACCCGCCTTATACTCTGCTAGCGACGACTGGTCCCATCTCTTCTTCGTTCCCTCTTAAAGCCATGTCATCTCTCGAAAAAAACCTTCCGACCCCACCCGGACGATAAATCATAGCTTTTCCCTAATAAGAGGCAAAAGAGGACATTTCTGAGGTCTCTCCATGAAATCCATTGTTAGAATCACATCCAGGCATACGAGACTGACTCGCATGGCCCGCATAGCGTGCAGAGCTTATCCTTGCTCCAGCTCCATAGCTTGTGAACAGATGAAGCGACAATCCTCGTGATAAGCATGGTCTGTTCCTAGCTCCAGGGTAGTTAATCTATCAAAGTTTACGCCTCAGTATTTCAGCATGCTTTCCCTGACAGTTTCTTGGTTCTCTTCATACCCCTCCCTCCTTGCCTAAGAGCAAAACGCGATTTACCAGCTTGAACTCGAACCCAGACCTTGAATCTGCACTTTCGTTCGGCTCGTCTTGTTCAGGCAGAATGCGATGTATTCAGTTTAAAATATTTTTATTCTTGAAGTTTGCTGTAGATTGACATTATTTACTTAGACTCAACGAGACAGGAATTAAGATCACCTCAGTTTATTTTAATATCTCCTCCGCATTGTAATTTTGCGTGAGCTGCAATTAACAAATTTACTTCAAAAATATTCCCAGCCAATTCTTTTTTGTTGCCGCAAGTGCTACTTATTTTAACAAGAGAAAGTTAATAGTTTTTAAGTGAAGTTAATGAACTCAATTAGATATTTCATGTCTCGAAAAACAAAAAATATATTGGCGTAAATCTTTCACCAGGCACGCGATCTGTAAAGAGACGCTACAACTTTGTCTCTTCTGCGCATTCTCGCCAGCGACAGGGCTATTTATGGTCTCAGGCTCTTGAGTGGTTTTGATATTAATGTCATGTATCGTGTACATTTTACTTGGCTGGGAGTAAGCTACTGGCCGCTGCGGTAAAAATCTGTTTTGCGATAAGTAAGCATTTTTTTATATCTCGCCGCTCATCGCTTTGGCTGGTAAAATTAACATACTTAGGTTTCTCCAAAGTGCTTTTCCCGGATCGCTAACTGTAGAAATAGAGCCTTCTGTTAATGCGAGAGAAAAATTAAAGCTTTTAAAAGTATTTAAAAGGTACTCATTCATTCAGCTCAATGATGAAAATAACAAAAATGACAGTGACAATGATAAAAGCAAACTGGCGATATAATTTGTGGACCTTCTAACGCGATGTTTGTACTCCAGCTTATTGTTATATTTATAAGTTTCTGAGAATAACAGGTTCCTTGCTTTCTTCCCTTTTTTATCTCTATTTTTACCAGTTAAATCGTTTAATTTTGAAAGCGTGGGTTTTTACAATGACCTAAATGCTTTTTAGCCGGTGCTATTAGCGTTAAGTTGGAAATGATGGTTTCATAATATATTGTAGCTCAAAATGCAAAACGTTAATTATTTTGAAATAACTAAAGACAATTGATAAACTCATAAAATATTGATGTCCTTTAATGGAAAAGATATAGCTATAGTTGTCAGATCTATTTACATTTAGCTTTACTTGAAGAGCACGCAAGAAAACCTAAAAATTATGTTAGTGGTAGCCAGCTGTTAAATACGTATATCTTAAGCCCGAAAAAAATGCGTAAAAAAAAAAACCGATAGAATCTTCGTGGGAAAAAAACCACTACCACAAATACAAAATATTTGTTTCTCTAACGACAGATGAAATAACAAGCGTTGAGCCTCCCAAAATTAATCATCTCTACGTTAGTGATACTGGCAAAAAAACTAGAGGCCACCAGTGGCTTTTCTCGTAGATTTACAAGTCATTGCTCGCGCTTATTTGGCAACCTGAATGGCCTTGCTTGAATAAGCGTGGTTAATGAATCCTTAAAAAAAATCATAAAAATACGCCCTCGCAAGAAATACTAATTTTCTTAACCATTTAATGGGTTAATTGACTGAGTTAGGAGAAAGTTAGATCATTAAAACTTTTTTTTTCTTCTTCGCGAAGCTTAGAGGACATAGAATAAGCTGTCACCAGATAATGCGATTACTAGATAAAGCATAATTTGAAATTTTATCTTCACGCTTTTCTTCTTATTCACAGACATTTTTTGACGTCGTTTTCCGTATGGTTACTGATTCTGACGCTTGTAATATCGCCTGATCCCTCTGGATTCCAAATGAATATCGCGTGTTACCGCGAGATCTTGCGTTGTAATGACACGTCATGTAAGTCGAGTACGTGGGAAAGTGCCTCAGGAGGAACCCAACGCTGCGAGCCTGTATTACAAGACGCTCTTATTTCGCCAGTTGGTATATACGTACCAGCAGCTGGTAACTTGAACGTGATATGCCTAAAATAAGAAAATAAAAGAAAACCGCCATGTGGGTGGATAGGGGCGATAAAATTGGAAAAACAAATGATTTTCAGTTTCTGAAGCTTGTTTTTTTTTTTTCTTTTTTTTTCATCAGTTTTCAAGCTTTCCTCAGAAAACAGCCTTCAATTATTTTTACATGTTAAGCGTACAATCATGAATTTACGATTATTATCAGTGCCAGCAGAAACTCCTAAAATGTTTCAATGATCGTGAAAGTAACTATGGAATTTATACCCAAACGAACGTGACCGGCATATTAACTTCAACTCGAACTATAAAATAACATATTTATCATTATTTTAAAAAATTCGCTGATTCGCTGGTTTTTATCCCAGATGGACGCGATAAGTAGGAGGATAAAAGGGTTTTATTTCGTCTGCCTGCTATGTAAATTTTTTTCACAATATGTTGATGTGCTGTTTATTCATTGATATGAATTAAATTTGACTGCTTATTTCTTTCGATATAAGAGTATTATCATTTATTCTCTCCCCACCAGTCTTAAGTATTTAGAAAAAAGTGTTCTTAAGATTTGATCGGCTATGAAACTAATATAGTTTGCAGTTGACTTCTCAGCTGAATACTCAGCCTCCAGCGCCTTCTGTTAGACAGAGAAGCATCGTTCAGGTTTCTCCAAATCATTTATTTGAGGTTTTGAATTTTGTACTGCGCACTATCTACGCTACAGTTCTTTTTGGGTCTTCTTCGAAGGGTAACCTTTTCCACGGGAAAACTGGATCAATTTAGGGTGTGGTAAGCCATTTTGCACGCGACTAAAGAACGCCCGACATGCGATGGTCCCCTTGCAGTGCAAGCGCACCTCGTTTCCTCGTGTTTCTGATGCATGAAAATTGAAGTTAGTGGTGAAGGCCCGTCGTGTCACAGTTGTTACTCTCTTAGCTAAAATGGATTTTTAAGGAATAAGGTGTTTGCGTTTAGTTTTATTTAAAAAGAAAAAGGAAATCATTGAGTGGCAGTGGTGGATTAGTTTAACTTTAAGGACACACATTGTAATCCTAGCCATGTAATGAAAGAAGGATATCAGTGAAATCTCGCCAAAATCTCTCTGCTCTTAAGGATAAAGTTAGATGACATCTTACCTGTAACGCAGCGAAAGTCATTATACATTCCGCGTGAATTTATGTGCGTGACGGACTCAAGTTACAGTATAGATCTGTAACTTCCCGGAGAGATCAACCCAGTATGTGCCAAATAAACAAGTCTAGTCGTTTTCAATGCCGCGATCCAAAATAGAGCCTACTTTTTTATAAATTTCTGGCAGAACAATGATCCTCTTATATTTCAATCTCATTTCTGTTGAAACTCATTTGAATTTTGAACTATATGCATTCGATCTTACAGTCCCATTTCCTTGATCGAGAGAGAGCCTTGATCGAAGGTAACTAAAGCACCTTATTTCTAAAGCGATCTCTTTGCTCAGCTTGGTTTTCGCAATTCCCCGAAACATTATCTAAAAAAATTAAAATGAGCAAGCTTGTTCCACTTAATTAGGAACGGTGCATGGAGCGGGTAGCCATCGATCCACCAGCTAAAACAACCTGCGATATTTGCCAATGGTACAGTGCTTCACTCGAAAGTGTGGTCACACTGAACGCAAAAAGATGTGTCCTTGCATTAGTAACCGCTTACTCTCAAGATAATAAGCATACATTTCTCTTTAATTACTTGCTGTTTACACAAAATTTGGCCATCCTTAGCCCAGCAAATGACTTAAGTCTAGTATTTTACTTTCGCTTTACTCTGTTCTTTCTACTGTAGTCTAAAATACTTGAAGAAAATTGAAGCAGTTAACAAGCAGCTGGAAAATTCACGTTTCATTCTCCCTGGATAGCCAACACTTTTTACTGTTTGAAATAATCGGCACTGTCTAGTCTCTAAAAAGTCCTAAAAACCAGCTGAAGCATTGTTTAAACTGTCATGAATGCCAGACAGCGAGTCGATCAATTTTAACTGAAAGCGTCAGAAAAAAAAAACCCGACTTCCCTTCAGTTTTAGAAAGAATTATTATCCATCCTTTTTTGTGACTCCCTCGTGCAGTCAGGCCAAAGTACTAAAATGAAAAAATTTGGGTAAAAGAGGAAACGCCAGATAAACAGAAGTCTCATTTTGCGGAAGTGCCCTGTGGGCGTCATACGTCTTCTCTTGAAATTCCCTGCCGCCGGAAGGCTGAAAGCGGGACATTGTTAGTTTATGACTGCTGGTCAGCTAAAGGCTGTATATTAAATAAGTCTATTTCAGTCTTTGTTGCCGAAAATGGCTGTTCCTAAAAAACTATTTTGAAACGTTTTTTTTTTTTGCGATCCAATGTTTAGACTACACCTGATGTTGGGAAATGTCTCATGTCGATCTGTAGGCAAATGGACTTTCATTCCCATTAAAAAAGACCCGAGACGAGGCGATTCACCGAAAGCCTCAGAGTGAGCTCTTTCCGCCATTTGACAATGATAGAAAACTCAATTACTGTAGACCTTTGAATAAGCAAGGATCGGGTTTTTATCATAAGCGTGCGTCAAACAAAACCATAAAGGCGAAGGACCTTCAGTAAAATGCTTTCATACCATCTTTGTAACTATAAAAACTGAAAGAAAAACCACGATCGAGGAAGTTAAATGATAATAAAACAGCGTACTTTCAAAACGGTAGTGCATTGCGCTGTATTGGTTTCAGGAACTCTAAACCTTTGTAATAAATGGTTTATCAGACTTCCTTGGTCACACCAAATACGGGAACAGTGGCTTGGCAACTAACACCGTTTTAATGATCTTTAAAAATAACGCCTTTGGATTAGAAATATATTTGTTACAACACAGCTTGAAAGAAACCGAAACTCTGAAACTGTCAAACGAGGTAGAAAACAATAAGATATTTCGCTTTGTTGTGGTAGTCATTTTGCCTAGAGGGCCGAGGAAACGAAATTTGTGGTGAAGCGATCGCCCGATTTTGACTCGCCATATATTATTTCCACGTGCAGATCTTCATTTACAGGGACAATGTTCAAACAAGAGTCGAAACTTTCATTCCCAGTCTTTAGTCAGTCAGCTGAGTATTAAAAATGGAATTTGACTCGCTCGATCACCAGCGCAACTCGTGCGTTTGAATGACATGCAAGCTGTAAGTGTCGTTTTGTTATCCCTGTGTAACAGCCGGGGTCAGTTTATGGGCAGAGGAAACACACAACTTGGAGTGATTATTAAAACTCATTAGAAACCATAGGTGACGCTGACGTGAGTTGAGTCTAAGCCAGCGAAGAATAAGAGGCTTGCTGAAAATTGTCAACAAACAGGCGCGCTGAAATTTCTGATATTTCTCCTAGTTACATTTTGTTTTAGCATTTCTGCACGCTAAACGAGTTACCCCGCAAACAAAACAACAGCGGTGCTGTCCGTGTGATCTCTGAAGTTACGACCCGCCGTGGCAACGTTGCATGAACTTCGCCGATAAAAATTTCGACTTTCATGAGAGATTATTGACTGCAGTTCTCCCAATAATAGTGCGTTAGTTTCTAGTTTATGAAAATTTTGGATAAATAAACCTTTTTTTTCTGAAACAACCTCAGAGTCCAATAGTAGGTATTGTACAAGTTGTCTTTTCGAAGAGCAATTTTTGTTTCGAGTGCGAACAATTGCATGGGATGCTTCCGTCTGAAACAAGAGTACATGTGCGTCATATCACGAAGGCCAAGCCCAGCTAGGCTTAATGAATTGTTACAATTCTTCTAATTTCTGAGCGCATAAACCCGAGAAGGCGCAACATTTATTGCTGAAACCTTATGATTAATTGTTCTGGCTTCATCAACATTATGCTGTCCTTTGAAAATTCTAAACCTCTGGACATGTTTTGCTACGAACTAAAGAGTTCGAAAGTTGTTTTTTTCTAGCGCTTTTCATGTGCTTTGCATTTTCTGCTGAAATCCAATAAAGCGTGATATATATACGATCGCGTGCTTTGCACCCGATGATGTCAACCTGCCAAAATTAGACAAAGGTGAAAACATCAACATGGATTAAAGTGAGCATATATATCGCTCCAAGTGTCGACTCGAGAGTCAACAAGTGTCTGACGCAAATCAGCCAATCGCAAGCCGATATTTTTCTCTCCAGGTTACTCCGCGCTGTTGTTCCCGTTGTTTCCACCAATCCGATGGCGGTCATCAGATTACACGTGACCACTTGCGGGTTTTCCCAGCATGCCTCTCATTGAACCGGAATTTCGAGCATTTGGCGCCTGAAGCTTTCAGTTTTGAAGAGAGTCGTTCGTGGCATGGCGAGCACTTTATAGTTAAAGCGATGGTTATAAGTTAAAAATCAGCTTTGCAAAGCTCCAGGGACTTTGCGCGATGGCCACCAGCAAAATTGTGAATGGTATCGCAAGCCAGGCGGCCGAGGCGAAAAAGAGAATGACGAAAGAGGACGACGAAGGGTATACTCATGAAGTTTATCAATATTACGCGCAAAATTCGCGAAAATTTACGTGAAAATAATTTGTAATTTATTATCGGCGTCTCATAAGGGGTTAAGAATTTCACAGGTCTTAAATCTCGTGCTAGCCTGCTGGGTTGTAGTGTGTGTTTAAATCATTGTGACTGTGTACGTGTGTTGTTACGCTTCATGCAACTCTTTATGTGAAGTTGTTTCGAATGCGTGGCGCCGTACCACTTTCTAGCTTTCTTGTCAACTTCCCCTTCTCTTTGTCTTCCGTTCACAGCAAACTCTTCGTGGGCGGACTCAGCTACGAAACCACTAAAGGTACCTTGAATTTTTTACTTTCAATTTTTTAATTTTTTTTTCTACCAAATGTGAAAATACACATCAGAGAAAGTTGTATATTTCTTATGTCTGGGGAAACCAGGTGTCGAGGAGGTTGTTTACGACCTGCCGTTAAAACTCTTCTTCCAATTTCAGAAACTTTGACGGATTATTTTAATACTTTTGGTGAAGTTGTCGGTGTTGAAATAAAAATGGATGCATTGACGGGTCGCTCAAGGTTAGTTTTACCTTTACTTTGTATTTTTACTATTGTCAATCGAAACTTCAGCTGAGCTCATGTACTAGGCAAGTTTGTTATAATTTTAAACCGACAATGTATTCTTTTGTAGTCGAGCCCACGTGCTCGACATCTCTCAGTTTACATATATAATGTATGTAGGAATCAGCTTTACTTTTCGCGGCTTCGTGTGACAATACACGTTTTTCTTTTGTCTGGCTCTTGAAATTTCATAACGCTTCGGAGAATGGCTGCTTAAATTTTCACGAATTTGTGAAATAAAAGCAATTGACCAAATACAGTAAGGAAATAGGCGACTGATCGACGGGTTTTCTCTTTTGGTTTTAAACAATTCAAGTAAAAAGAACAGTCCTATAAAAGACCACCGGTGTCTAATGTTCGATATAAACAACCCCCTGTAGCGAAATATTTTTCGCGGTCATTTTGTAGCATAAACATTCGCACGACTTTGTAGAAGCACGCCATAAGCGCATAAGGAAATTAATGGATGATTCAAGAGGACTCGAGAAAGGCGCCAGCAATTGTTGTTTTGACTGACAGAATTTCTAAATCTATATTCTATGGCTTGCGCCTGCTGATGTTAGGCGAAACTCAGCTAAATTTACAATATGTTTGTGAACGGGAAACATATTATAAATGGTCGTTGAACTGTAAAAGTTCATTCTTAATCTTTTAATGGTGTTCTTTGCTCGCGCTTTCGTGTAATTGACACTTGTCAGTGAATTCGAACTCTTATTGTTTGTTTTCTCTCATTTCAGAGGGTTCGCATTTGTACAATTTAAGGATCCGAAACAAGCAAACGCGGTACGGTGTAAACTCTATCATAACTTAGGCCATAAATAGCTCATAAAGTATGAGGTACTGTACTTTAGAATTTAGTCCTTTGCACTATTATATTCCCTAACAATGCCTGCGTCAAGGACTCTGTTTCTAATGGCTTAAGTTTATTATCCAACTATCCGGAAAAACGGTGAGCAGGTTCATTCTTTAGACATTTGACTACCAGAGCCTCAGTGGTTACTGCTGAATGGAACATAACAACAGTATTTTTAAGTACCGACTGACCAGTCATTTCTTGACAAGATATCACACTATATATTGGGTAACAAGCTCTGTCACAGATGGTTGCAGATCTATAACCCGTTAACCAATCAGACAATTCTATTGCGGACATTATATTGCATCTTGAATGTGTTTAACAATGATTTAGCAGAATTTAGCAGAAGTTTATTCCCTCAGATGTAAAGTCTTGATCCAAACTGTAAACTGATGAATGCTAGTAAATGCAATAAAGTTCATTCATGAATGCGAAAAACATTTGCCATCGTTTTCGAGGGGCAAAGTGCTATAATTGGTTGCATGACATGAGAGAAAAACAAGCTGAACTGCCATATTAATAAATATGAGGTTTTGTATTCCACATGTTCAAAGTGCACTTATTTAGATCTCGTGATGTTTTTTTTAACTTTCTTTTTCTTTGGTAAACTGTCTCAATTAAGGAGCAGGTGATGTTTTAGCTAAATTACCATAGGGCAAATTAACAAGTTGAGCCCATAAAAATAGTGTCTGTTTACCCTGTGGCTATCTAAAATGTCTTGTTGTGACTTAGGAGTGATTAAAAGTTGATTTTAATGACGAAAATTTGATGCCCACTTTTGTGATAAACAGGAAGTGCTGGCAAAGGTTGCATGATAAGGAAGTTGGTGACATGAAAAATATTGTGCTCAATACTGAATGAGACTTTTCTAATCTAGTATGATTTATAACAAAGCTGTTTGTCTTTACCATTAATGCTGAGTGTGATTTTTTGTTAAGACTTGTATTTTTTTGGTTCCATCGTATAGTTTTTGAAGTGGTAATTAGAATAAGAAATCCACTGGTAAGAATCAACAGCCATGGCCCATGTATTTGTGTTGGGTAAATTGCATGTTTTTATTGGTGGTAGAAAGCAAGAACACAAATTGAAGTTCAAGTGGTGTTTTTGTATGCTGTTAACTAGAGACCGAATTTAGTTATTGAAAGGTTAACCTTCTATTCTTGTAAGTGAAGGGTCTCTTTATACAAGTTAGCTGCTTAGTTTTTAAATCTCACCCCACAGCTCCCTAATTTGGACAAATTATTGTTTTTTCACGCAAGAAGGAGATTGAGCTAATGAAGCAGATTCCTATGACTAGCCTTGAAATATTCCTTTGACATGTGAACTCTATAGGTGGATTATAGCATCGAAACTCAAATTTATTCCTTGTTCATTAGGAAACTGAGCTTAAACTTCTTTTGTTACCTGTAATTAGGCTGACGTCTCTGTGTGTTGACTGAGGACTAAGATAAAGATGCCAGTGAGAGAGTTATTTTCGCTCTTTCATGAAAGATATTTTTGTGTCTATCGTGTGGTACTTCATTTGCTGGTAGTGATTTTTAGATGCCTTGAGAACTTAGGGCAATAGAAGTTACCACTGTAAGACTTTGAGGTTGAATTACAATTGAATGAACAAAACAAAGATGTTTATTCTAATGTACCACCTTCTCGAATTTTCGTGTTTGTCGATCTTGGAAATCCATCAAAATTTCAATGTATATGTGCTCTGATGCATGATTTAATTTATTTCAGTGATTGTATCATTTTGATTTCAAGACAATTTTGTGGAATGAAAGTGAATGATGAACTTAAAATTGCATTTAGTCTATCGTCAAATACTAAATTATCATCTTATTATCCGCCAAATTGTTATAATTTTGTGCTTGCAATTGCATGATCAGTTCCATCAAGTTAAGTACCATTGTTTTGATTGGGTGGTGTTGATCAGTTCTCAGTGTAGAAGGTTTCCTTTAGCTACTATATCAAGCTTCTTCGACATTTTGATTAATGCCTCTCTCGTGATCAAGGTTGGAATCTTGCCACTAACTTTCAGTTAGGTTACTAGTTGCTTGAGTCTTTTACTTTAGTGGTATTTAGAATTCAAATAGCCATGATATGTTTCAGCCCAAAAAATGTAATTTTCATCTGGTTTGAGATTGGGTATGGTAAGACTGAGGTGAATTTAGACGCCTTTCCTTAAGTCATGAAAACAATAGACGCTCCAGCTATGATAGTATTCTCAGACATATTTCTTGTTATGTTATCATTTGGTGCATTTTTCTTCCTATTCAAGAGATTAAAGTCTTTGATAGCATTTCTCTACAAGAATCCAAGATCAGTTATTATCATTTTTGTATAGGAAAAAAAAGTATATATCCAAAAATGGACTCTCTGAAAACCACCCAACAATATTAGCAGTGTCCCAGCAACAAAAAATGTCAGCAAAAACAACCTCCAAGTTTTTATTAGATTTCAATCTTGAAGATTACCTCAGAGAAATTGCAATTAAAACCCCTAATTAAGAATCCCATGAGCTCTTGTCAGCTTATTCTGGCAGAAGAAAAAAGGGGAAAAGAGAGTTTGAAATAAATTGCATTAGCAAAAATCATTCCTCGTGATTTCTGTAGTCATTTCCGTATGTCTGGATATACTGTCTCTGTCCTTGAAAACCTCTTGACTACCCATGGAACCCTGCCAATCGGATGATCATCAGCCAGGCTAAGAAGGCAACTGTTGATCACCCTTTGGATCCTTGGAAACCCTGGAGGCCTCTGTCCAGATGCTGATAATTTGACATGTGCAGAGCAACAGCATACCATGTTTACAGGCGGACTTTATCAGATTTCTTACCAGACAAGAGTTGGTTGCTGTTAAAGTTTTCTTGCTTTTGTCTAATTGATTCATGCTGTAAAATGGCAGCGATATATTTACAACTTAACAAGTCTAGTCCATTGTGTTTGATAATGTTTTTCCCAAGTTACTGCTGACAAAGTTCACTCTGCTCTGAAATGCTTTGGATCATGTATCACGTATCACATATCCAAAGTATCAGGATTTGGACATGATGCAATGAATCCACCTTCAACAAGATCATTTGTATTAATAATCTGTTTGTGGATTTTTGTCAAGAAATGTCTTTTTTCGGATTTGAAGATCCAGATTTGGATTTAAGTAAAGACATGCACTCTTGCTATGACCTGATATTGACTGTGTACAAATTTACAATTTCCTTGTGCATGATATTGTCTTGCTTTGTTTTTTGCAATCAATATTCTGCTTGTACATTGCTGTGTCCAGAGTAGAAGATTGATGTGTTAAATATAGACACTATGGCAGTGTGGAAGAGTAATATTCTTCTCAACTGCCATAGTCTTGGCAAACTGATGGAAGTTAACCCTTAGTTGTTGGAATTTCAGGTCTTGCAGCATGGAGGTCCACATTTATTAGATGGGAAAACAGTAAGTCTACCTAAAAGCTTTGAACAAAGCTGTGGTTACTCATTGTCATTTTCAATTGTACATCAAGGAGGTGTTTATCGAAATGCCAAGATATTAATAAACAAACTCTCCCACTGCTTCTCTTTTGGGAGGGTTGTGGGGTGGAGGGACAGTAAAAACGCTGAACAATGTAGCAAGAATCACAGATTAGATTGAGTTTGCAATGTCACATTCTGCGACAATAAATCTGTATTATTTTCAACTTAGAGGCATTTGGTGTCCACATACATGTAGGGTGGATATGATTTAGTGAAGAAATTTGGTTTTTCGATTGATGACTTCCATTGAATATTTTTGTTACTTCCCCACCAGGTTGATCCCAAGCCAGCAGCACCTATAAATAAGGTTAGTGTGTAAAGATATTAGAAACAGGGAGTGTAAACCTCCACCAGGAGAAAAACTTTACCAAATGATGCACTACTAGATGTTTTATAGAGTTGTTAAACTAACTACAAATTTTATACGAAACACAACAGATTTGTTCAGGCTGTAACCACTTGAATGAATGTTCATCAACTTTCTTGATGGGTTCTCTCTCCCACCAACAGTTTTATAAGCAAAGTTGCTATATTTGCACTTGCTCTTAATCACCACTTACCCTTTTAAACTCTAAGAGTGACCAGAATCTAATTTCTCCTCACAGTAGTCACTCACTAAGATCATGAGAATAAAGGAAATGATCACCAGTCTAAGCAGCTTTGATTAATAAACAAACTCTCCTTGTCAGTACTAAAGGAAATGTATAGAGAAGAGTTTAGAGACTATGGATAGTGGTATGGGGAATCTTGTGAGCAGAGTAGAAGTTTTATCATTCAAATAGATCAATGTATAACACCCCCCTACATTACATGCCACCGCAGAGAAATGTGTTTAACTGGGAAGGGACAAAAATTCTTAAGTATCCACTTTAGCTAGGAACACTATTTCTTCTCCCTGATGTTGTCCCCCTCCATGGTACTCTGATGATATGGGGTGAATTTGTGTGTGATCCTATTATTATAATTATAGTAATTGCAATTGAAGCCTTCCCTAACATAGTGATCTTCCATTTTCAGCCACCTCATTTGAGAGTAAAGAAAATTTTTGTGGGAGGACTAAAACCAGAGACCACTGATCAACAGATTAGAGACTATTTTGGATCAACTTATGCACCGGTAAGGATGTAGGGCGAGGAGATTGATCAATTGGTCCATCTGGCACAAGCAGACTTCTCTTTTGAGAAATATGACAACTTCTCCTGCCCACTTGCACAATTGACAAGCCCAAGATAACTTTAGTGTCAGTAACTGTAATGGTCAGCATTCTCCCTTATTTTAAGCCAGACAGGCAGAATAAATTTTTGGACTGGTAGAGTAATCCTTTCACCCGCTGGTTTTTCAAGAATTTCAAGCTATTTTAGGCAGTAATAAGAGGTACTGCAGGTGGTAAATTTAGTTGGTTACCACCTGAAAAGGAGAACACTGAATAGTGCTAGCTCCTTTAGGGATTTTGACAACATTTCACAGAGTGAACCTGCATCTTCATGTAACAAGAATGTTGCAGATTATTTGGCTAGCTTACTGAGATAATGAAAGGGTGTGGCAGGGTTGAAAGGGGGGAGGGGTGCCTTGGCTATTTTGCACTGCATGAGGAGATGATGGTGTGAGACAGAGACAAAATTAATGGGAGCAATGCTGATGTAGTCTTAAAAAGTGTCCTGCATCAATTCTGAAGGCAGGTTACAATGAAGGACAGTTCCAGTTAAAACATCTTGAATGTTTGGGAAACTTTCACTTGCAACAATCTTGAACTTTACACTTTAAGTTGATTGATTGTTTCTTGATTTTAGGTTAGAGACATAGAATATGTCACAGAACATTTAACCCAAAAGAGACGAGGTATGCAGTTAGATAGTTCAAGAGCATTGACTTAACCCTTTAACTCCCAAGATCTGATTGTCAATTCTCCCCTCCAGCTGTTACACATTTCCATGTAAATTAGTTTTGAGAATTTGTTGTAAGATCAAGGCAACTGATTCTACCTGATAAGTTTGAGTATTCTCATAACCTTTTTGCTGAAAAATGTACAAGTATTTTAGGACGAAGATACATGTCAATCACTTCTGGGAGCTAAATGGTCAACTCACTAACCCCTAAGAGTGACCAATGTCTAATTTCTACACACAGTATCACCCCCTGAATCAAAAATTAAGGTCACAAGAGTAGGAAAGTATCACTTACTAAAGAAGCTCTTGGTTGTCAAACAAATTCTCCCTGTCAACATGTCAGGAAATTGTGGAGAACATTATGGAGAATATGCCTTCTGATGTTAGGATGTAAAGTGTTAAGTGTATATTTACCCAATTGCTCCTGCTCTAAGCTAAAAACGTAAGAGTCACACGTTATAAAAATTGTGTTAGAGATAAAGTTCTGGTTGCAGGAAAGACTAGAGATTAAATACCCCATGTTCAAGGTATTTGAATTACATGACAGGCTTTAGTACCAACAGGACAGGCTTGCTTAAAACTTGGATAACTCAGAAAGAGACCAAAAAAGTTTTCAAAAGAAAAAGGAACAAAAAAATTAAACAAATTTGTATTTGCCATGGTATTCCAATAAGCAATAGCTTAGACCACAGCATTTTTCATTACACTCTCATTTGTCTAATGTAGTAATTTTCTTTAATCTTTTCTTTTAGGTTTCTGTTTTGTTTCCTTTGATTCAGAAGACACAGTAGACAAGATTTGTGAATTACAGTTCCATCATATTGATGGTAATAAGGTGAGCTTGCACTGGGTAAGAAGCGTTGATAATGTAAATTGTTTAGCCCATCCCAGAGTGAAGAGTGAATTTATCCATTTGTTATTTTGTGATTAAGGTTGAAGTAAAAAGAGCTCTTCCAAAAGAAGTTCAACAGCAGCAAGCTGCACTTCGTGCTGCAGTGGCAGGGAGAGGAATGATCCCAGCAATTGGTGAGCCCAGAATGTTTTCACCTTGAATTATTTGTTCTTGCATTTGATGGTCAATAATTTGGCTTTATTCTTTTTTATACATTGTTTAGTGGGACAAGACTGAGCTTAGGATAGAGTGTTGTTAATAAAGTAATGTCCACTCAAATTCCACTCAGTTCCTTGCAGAAATTTTGAAATTTGTGTTTATATTATGTGAATTTTACTGTTCCATTGCAGCCACAGCTTTTGGAGTTGTGCCTGGAAGAGGAAGACCAGCTGCAGGTATAAGCAGAGGTAAGGCTTTTTACAGTGCACTGTATGTATACTCCAACCAACAGCACACAGCAATCAAAGGGTCAATATAATGGAGGAGTCATTTTCTTTTCATGACCTTGCAACATCTTATGGGCCATAGAAAAAACATGTTATATGTTCGCGTCCAGCTGGCTTCTCTTTTTATCCATACTGTTCTTTATGCACTTCTTATGGAACTGACTGAGATAATCTAGAGAAAAATCAAGAGCCTTTTTTTGAGACCATCTCCTTTATTCTCATTAGCTTAGTGTTTGATTCATCAGTGATACCATAGTGAAAGATTAGGTGCTAGTAACCCTGAGGTTTATCCCTTTACACCCTAACAACAGTAGGCATATTCTCCATACTGTTCTCTATACAAGTCCTTAGGAGCTGACAAGGAGAATTGTTTAACAATCAATAGCCTCTAAAGTTGATGATCATTTCCTTTATTCTCATAACCTTGATATTCAGGGGGGTGATATTATAAGGAAAAATAAGATGTGAATCACTCCTAGAGGTCAAAGGGTTAAGGGTTAAAAAAAAGCTTTGAACCTTTTTAATCTTACTCTCCGGAAGGTTATTTTATCAAATCTACGGCAATACATTTCATCTCACATTGTGGTTTTAAATTCTGGTGTTCAAGGTCCATTCCGTGCTGGTACGGCGGCTGGAACTGCTGGGCTTAGTCTCACAGCTGCTGCTGCTGCTTATAACCCTACATATGCTGCAGCTGCCCTTTATGGAGCACTTGGCACAGGTGCAGCCTATGACACTGTCTACCCTACTTCCTATGGTGGTATACCGGGCTACCCAGGGTACTCCCCTGCAACGTTTCCCACCGCAGCCACAGGGTACCCCAGTGGGTATGAATTACATCTCGGAGCCAGCAGAGATGCACGATATCCAGGTATGCAGGGAGTTCAGAGTAAAGAAGTGTTGAATGCACAATGAAGGCATACGAATGTGTGTATTTGAATTTAACTATTTTCACTGAGGATTTTAGAACAAGTGTACAAGAAAGAAGCCCCTGATTTGATTGCTTGTCACCTTGTCTCCAGCATTGGATTTGGAAGTTGTCATTATAATTATTTTTATTAGGTCATCAATTCACTGTTGTGAAATCTGTCTTGTATTTACTTGGAAAGAAAATTAGGTATTAAGAGGTTATATTTTCAAGGTTTATTGTACATCTCTGGGATATGTTGAGTTGGAAGAACTCTACTTGAACACCTAATTAAAGAAGATTAAATGATGTTAGGGAGTTACCTGGCTTTGGAAGTTGATGTTACTTGAGGTTTCTCTCCTAAGCTGTGACCAACTCAAATTTTTTTCTGTTGATCATTTTAGGCATGTGTATGCCAGATAGGGATCACAGAGGTGCAATTAGAAAAGATTTATTTATCGGGTCGTCATCCAACCTTTAAGTTTCCCAGAGAAGTACAGCTGTATGTATACTCCAACCAACAGCACTCAGCATGAATGCTGTATTTATTCATGAATTTTATTGAGAGCCAGGAGGTCGACATTTTCATACAGAGTCTTATATTTTCTATAAAGTGAATTGAATTTGTCAAGGTCATTATTTAATGTACATTCACCAGTATTTGTTGGTTAGCTTGGGTTATTTCAGTGCACACCAGGGGCTACGTGAGCATGTACCAAGGCCTTACCTGTTAGTGCATAATTTATGTTTGCCAGATGTTCTTTTGGTTTGGTTTTTTTGGACCATATATTTCTTTGTTTTTTTAATTTTAGTTTAGCTGTTAGAATTTTTCTTAGTTTCTTATGAGTTATAAGGATCATCAGGGTTTTGTTTCCTTAGAAGTGAGTACAGATGGTATTGAGATCAGTGAAAATTATTTGGATCTGATATTGAAGAACAAATGAAACTTAAACATAACTCCAACATCTGAGTCATGAAATTCTTGCATCCCAAAGTTGAAGTGATGATACCCCCCTAGAAAGTATAGCTTTGAGTTTTGCAAATGTTTCTTTTTTGTGTTGCAATTAAGGCAATAACAAATGAATGTGTAATAGGGATAGTCTACATGGTACAAATTGAAAGAAAGTACTGATAAATGTAATGAAGAATACATCCTGTTAGGCCACTTGCATCCTGTTGGGCCATACCAGGCCAGACTAGAAATCAGTCTGTCCTGGTATGCGGGACAAATTTAGGCAGTCAATCCATATGGGAAAGCTCCCTCTGGCTGCTGAGCCTAGATTCTAGCCTGGTGGGAAGTTTCCATTTGGTTACCAATGTCAACAAGGGGCAACCTTGCAAGTTTATCCCAGTAACCAGGCCAGAATGTGCGTATAAAAATTTTCCAGCCCAGCTCCTGAGACCTTGGTTAAAAACTAGTCATTTTCCTCAAATGAACATCTGAATTTGGCAAAGTGAAGATTATCTCATATGCAGTACCAACATGTATACACAAGCCCCATCTGTTTTCCTCATGTGAAGAGGCCCTCAGAGCTGGTATGTAAATTGGTTGGATAAACTGACTTCCACGTAGCTAGAGGACTGTCTTGTTCATATTTTGGTGTTGGAAGTAGTAAATCAGTGGTCAATGAAGCATTTTCATGAGAATTACAAGTATTGGTTTTTTTGCATACAAGATTTGTAACTATTTTTTGATTTGAAATAGATTTCCATTTTTCCAATTTTTTTTCTTGTTTTGCTCCTTTTGTGCCAGATTCATTTGTGTCTGACATTCAAAGAATGAATCTGTAAATGTAAATTTCCTTGGGTAACACTCTTCTTCAAACCCAAACTTTTTTGGAATTCTTGATAATGTGGTAATTGCAAGATTGTAAAGGCTGGCATTCTGGAGGGGATATTTGCCAGGAAAAGTTAGGATTTAGGGCAATTCACGTAGAGAGAGAACCACCATGCATAAAAGTCCTGTAAGCTTTCACCTTTCAAACAATAGGTGCAAATGGCTCCCAATCTTTATGTCTAGAAACAAGCTGTGAAGAACTGCATCTTGTATATCAGATTGAGTCTTTCCACACGAAATGAGCCAAAGAAGCAAACAAAGATTGTGTTTGTAGTGGAAGATATTATGTTTGGTTCTTGCTTTAAATAAGTGCCTAACAGGTGCTTTTAGTTGTGCATTATGGCTTTGCAAAACAGCAGTTGACAAATTACAAGATCATTGTTTCTCAATTTATTTCCAGAAAAGGTAACTTGTAGGCTTTTATTTTCATTATCTATCAGCACAAGTTTTCTTGGCATGGGTCTAAACATATGAATTGAGGGCCATTTAGTACCAAAATTATCAGGAGAAAAAGTGTGTGCTGTGAACTTTAAGGAAGATTTAATGTATGGCCAGCTGCAGAGTTGATTAGTGTATAATCTACAAAAATGTACAAATCACATATTTTTCAACACAAGAAGGGTTTGTAGTCATTGGCTGAAGACAAAATGCTATCCATTCATTGTGCACATATTGTTTTAACATCAGCAGTCATTGGTCAACAAATGAGCTCTTGTTTTACCCTTGCAGTGTTGACCTCAATTTATCATGCAATGTAACTGGTCTCTCCACCAGTTGCTTTTTCAATTAAAGGTGGAGGTAAGGTGCTTTCCTTAAAACAGGTCTGTTCAACTAGGAGAATGGGTTCTTTTTGGTGTATATGAAAAGAAAGTCCACCCCTTGTGTCAGGTTTGTGCAATCCTGTATTTATTATGGCCCAAAGAATGGTGAAACTGTATGCACCATGATTGTTAATATTTTGTAAACTCCTGCACATTGTGTTGCACACATTTGACAAAGGGGCAAAGAAAACTGATAAGTCATACCCAAAGGATAGGTTCCCTTCCCCCAGCATCAGTTTTGTTAGATCTCTGAACCCAGGAGTTCCATTAAGATACAAGATTATCCAAGCAAGGTGTTCTGACAAACTGAGAGCATCCTTTCATTTTATTAGTGGAAGAAGGAAAGAACTTTTGCATTAGCTTAGGTTAGGACTGCAAGGGTAAAGTTAAGATGGAAAGATAATGTACGTATACAAGTCTTGCAAAGCAAGAGGGTGTTCTGTGTTGAATCATGCACAGTTTTTGTAATATTTTCCCAAAGATATTGAGATTACCCTTGCGTGTATATTTTCTTAGTATTGTGTTGTGTTCATGAAGTTCATTTTAGCTTTTAATCAAAAATGATACCTTTATTTTCCTTTGGAAAAGTGACTGATCTATTACCTTGTACAGACAATGAGATGTGTTTGGATTATATGCTGAAAGAAAAGTTATGAAGTTTTTATTTCCAAGTGAACCATTGATTTAATTTTATTTGATATTTTTGTGAATATTGCATGTGACAAGTGGAGACAAAGGTGTCAGGCAAAACTTCTGATACATTAATCACAAAGTTGGCCTCCTTATAGTGAATCAAAAAAGATATTCTGACAGTACACTCTAAGTGGTGGATGCTACTGTTCCTTTCACTCATGCTCATTCATTGAGTTTGAAAAGCACTGTACCTTTTTATTTCTATTTGTTTGGTCTTGGTTTATCTTTGCTATGATTTTTTTTTTCTTGGTCTTGATTGTGAAAAACTTGATATATATTGTACTATCAGAGGCCCAAAGTATCATCAGAACGTTTTTTAGACCATTCACTGTAAAGGATAAGCTGCAAACCCTTTGAATTCCAAGATCTCACTGTGAATTTTCCTTACAGTCTGCCTTGCTATTTTTTTAGTATTGTCTCCTCTGAAAGTATGGTTCAACCAGGTGATGTATTTAGTTTCTCCAATCACCTTCAGGAATCTTCAGCAAAGTATTTTTTTTTAGGAGAAATTATATATTGGTCACTCCTGTGTTGAGAAGGGTTAACCTTTAAACTTTTAAAAGCAGTCATTTACTATTTTCTTTTTTCAACAATTTAAAAACACCAGTCAACCAGTTTTGTAATACATCAGGTGATAATACTTGGTTGGTTATTGGTCGTTTGTAAGGAGATGTAGCCCCCAGGTCTTGGGAATTGAAGGGTTAAAAAGAATTATCAGTTCAAACCAGGGGGTATGAAGTCACTACAAAACAAAGAAGGAGAGAGGTGTCACTGTATGTGAAAAATTTACAAGCTGTGGTATATGATGCAACTTCACTGTCATGATTGTTAATCATCTTTACATGATATTACCTCTTAAGAATGAAAATTTAGTACTTGTTGATAATGGTAAATTTTAGTAGCTTGTAGTTGTACTTTTTAAGAGCATAGATAATACTGCTCAATCAGAATCCTCTTTTAAGTTCATAATCAACAGTTAATGTCTTCTTTCTCTGAGTTATTGATCTGACGATGTTAACTAACTTTAATGATAATCAAGTTTCCATTTATAGATTTGTATATCTAGAGTAATAAAATGCATGTTTTACTGCTTAGATTGCACTAAATCCCAATTAACTATATGTAGAAGTAATAACCACTGTTAGATGTAAAATGTTAGATCTCAGAACTTCATTGTTTTGCAAAGAAAAGGAAAGATGGAAACAGATCTTTCGGCTTTGTAGAATTGTTAGGCAAAGTTGGAAGGAGGTTGCTAGATGCGAAACTATTACATAGGTGATTAATATGCGACTAACTGGTCATTGTTAAGCTTTATAATATATGGTATGTGCATCAAATTAACAAGCTTTAGTCTTTAACTTTTTAAAATATTTGGTAGTGTGCTTTATTGCCTTTAAAATTCATTTAAAGAAAATAACTGTTTCCTCTGCATTCCATGTGACTTGTTAATGCAAGTAGAGGTTTATAAAGATTGTGTTAAAGAAATTTCTTTGTAGTAACGAATAATTATTCTTTGGTAATGTTATTATACACATATATGTATGTTAATCTGAGGAGTAGCCATTGAGGAGTTTTTATCCATTATACTTAAAAAGTAGTGAAAAAATTCTATGGGCACTGTTTTAAAACCTGTCATAATATCCGAATGCATTCTTAA